TTTCCAGAATATAATAGCTCAGAAAACTCCAGTGTTGAAGTACACCAGGAATCCAGATTCAGCAAAGAAATTAAAATATTAGCATTTGTCTGTTGGGAAAGGTTTTTGACTAACAGTGGAAAATTGGTAAAGACAGATATACATCTTTAAAAAGTTACACTGGGGAGAAAAGTAACTTGAAAGATGACTATCTGAAGCTAATCTTAACTATTCAGAGGTTTCCAGAACTTGCAGTCCTTTACAAATATGCATGTTTAGAGAGTGATTTTCAGAGTTTAGTACGCTCCCCCACAAAAAAAAAAAACAAAAAAAACAAAAACAAACCGAATTCCAAACCGGATACTATACATATGCCAAATAACTAAACTGTATAGAAAGAGAGACTGAAATACTGCAAATTGCATAAGTTCATCTCCAGAATAGTATACTTGAGCTGTGTGCTGCAACTCAGTATCTGGGTCTAAGTGCTTTACAGAAATGTACAATTCTCATAAAGATACCACAGATTTCTAACAAAGATCTCATGCAACTTGGTTTGCCCTATTTTCTCCTGTGTTTTTAAAGTGTGATTCTGCTCTGAGGTCAGATTTCAAAAGGCTTTCTGGGGTCACACATTGTCTCACTGACTTCCAGAGCAAATTTGCTCAGTTTCTCTCTAAAACAATGTTTTATTTTACACTGCTAGCCCTGTGAACAACTTTGAATGCAAACTTTGAACTTTTCTTCTCATGCGGACTCACAAATAGGTGTTCAGTAGGACAAATTAGGCCCTCAGTTACACCTGTCCAAAACTGATGGTCTTAAAATCAAAGGCTGACATGTGTAGTTCCATTGCCTTTAATTAAGGTTGGAACTAAGCAAACAATTCTTCTTATGGTGCACAAGAATAAGCAGAATTCAACTTACTCTCACTTAACTGTATTAGTTCCAAAGTGTTAACTGAAGCAAAAAGCAGTAAAAATACCTTTTTATCATTTAAGACAACATATGTAAGTCTGAACAGGAGGAGTAGATAGAGCTCATGACTATGGTGCCATTTTTACAGTTACTCTTCAGAGCAGAACAGAAATGTGATGGAAATTGTATTCACTGTCTTTAATTTGAATTCTGGTGCATAAATAAGTATAATTTTCGTTGTTAGTGTCCTGGCAGCTCTGGAAATAGTTTAAGTAACTTGAACTCCCTCTACTGGTTGGTTCAGCAAAACAACCACATACACACCTTACATAAGGGGATTTTTAAAAAAATGTATATGCAATAGTCTTTAAAAAAAGAGTTCAAAACTCATTCATCACCAAGTTTTAAAGGTTGATCAAACATGGATATACTTGGCAGTATTCTTTTAAACAGCCACCAATAAGAGAAGAATTTTATTCCCTAATAAAATGACTAAAGACACGGTCCTCTAATTTTGTGACTGCATTTCTAATATATCAATGAATTACAAAGCTTTATAAACAACTTTTTACTTTTTAAAATGTCTAATTAAACAATACTGTTTTATTTGTTGAAATCAGGTACCAATGGATTAATAATTATATAAAGACCTGTTAAAGTAATTAGCCATTCAGGTTAAATGTAATTTCAGAAAAATAAAAAAATAAGGGCTTGATTACACTTACACTGGTGCAGCTGTGCCACCAAAGCACTTAATGAAGACACTACCTATGCCAAGTACTACACCTCCCTGAAAGGCTGCAGCTGTGTTGACGGGATAAGCCCTCCTGTCAACATACAGCTATATACAGTGGTGGTTAGGTCGGTATAACTACATCGCTCATTGGTGTTGAACACTCTGGGGTGCGGAATTTCCACAGCCCTGAGCGACATAGTTATACCAACATAAATTAGTAATGTAGACCAAGCCTAAGACACTGCTGCCCTTCAAAACAGTACTTTCTTCAGGTGACTTTGTATAAGGAATAAAATACAATTAGTGAAGTTAGTTAAAGATGTGTTGACAGAACACTCTAGAATCCGATCTTAGAGGGACAATGTAAAATTAAAAATATGTACCAAACTTCCATCTAACATTTTTTAAAGCTATTATTGTTACAATTAAAACTGAATATTAAAAATGAAAAATTAGAGGGGAAAAGTGGGAGAAAAAGTGGTGTTTTTGATAGCACTCTATGTACTGCAAGGCGTGGCCTACCCAGTTTTTGTGCTGGTATAATTATTTCAGCCTAAGGGTATAATTTTTTTAACCAAAATAGTTATACAAGTACAACCCCATATTGTGAATGTAGTTTTACCAGTATAAAGGTGTCTCATATCATATAGTTTATTCCCCTTCCTGTACAAGAATAAGTTGTACCAGTATAAGCCCCTTTATATGGGTATAACTTGATCCACACTATGGGGTTTGTATTGTTTTAATTATATCAGTATAAAGTGGTACAACTTATATGGTGTAGACAAGCCTTAAGTTTCACTGTTTCCTCTGCATGTAGTCTCTCCTGTTTGCACAGGACTCTCTCAGAGCAACAAGGGATGAGAACAAATAAAATCTGGGAGGTGATTCAGGGCTAACTGTAGTTTTTACAGTAGATTTTAAATTGATGGTATTGCTTTGAGTTGCATAGTTCCTAACCTGCTTGAACTTGTCCTGTTTAAAATTTTCTGGTCATAAACCGAGTAAAGAAACTGAATGCTGAATGAAAAGGAGTACTTGTGGCACCTTAGAGACTAACCAATTTATTTGAGCATAAGCTTTCGTGAGCTACAGCTCACGCTGTAGCTCACGAAAGCTTATGCTCAAATAAATTGGTTAGTCTCTAAGGTGCCACAAGTACTCCTTTTCTTTTTGCAAATACAGACTAACACGGCTGTTACTCTGAAACCTATCATGAATGCTGAATGGTTCAGAGCAATTTGCCCAGAAAGTTTTCGACAATTTAGTTAACATATTCACACAAGCAATTTCTTACCAGAAAATTCATATTAAGAATGTTAATAGTGCACCAAAAAGAAATAGAAATAATTAACATATTATGTAGACTTAATAAGACCGGAGACATTTTAAACAATTAGATAAAAATAATTTCCTTTTTCACTCATCTGCAGGAGAAACTGTTAGGAATGCCACTAAAACTTAAATGTGCCAGGGAACTGCATTCCTTACACTACTTTATATTACTAATTCTATCAACCATACCAAGAAAATAAGTACCTCAATTTTGATCTTGGCAGATCAAAAGCCTTTTGGGTCACCTTTCAAAAATACTTCTAATTTTAAGTGAACACATATATACTGTTAAAGGCTGTTTCACTAGAAACATATTTAAATGTTTACATAAGAAATTAAGATTAAAAATAAGGTTGTTAAAGAACTTGTAATGTCTTCATCTGACAAAAACCATGCAATTGAGAGACTAACAATCTTTAAAAACACAGCTGCATAATTTGGGAAAGTACAAAATAAACTGAGGAATTAGATTAAATTTTTAAACTTAATCTCCTAAATTTTATTAGCTGATGACTCTCCTACAGGATAGAGCTTATTTCTCAATTTCGAAATGTACACAGGTGTTAGTATCTAATTATACAGTGTGTAAGTAGAAACTAGGGTAACTTCCATAATTAGAGCAACCAGATGTCCTGATTTTATTGGGACAGTCCTGATTTTTGGGTCTTTTTCTTATATAGGCTCTTATTACCCCCGAGCCCCGTACCGATTTTTCACACTTGCTGTCTGGTCACTCTATCCATAATTAAAAAAGGAATGCCTGTAGCCTGTGTGTCTAGGTCAGAGCTGCTTCACTTCCTTCAAATTCAGGGCATGAAGGAAGGGACAATTCGTTACTGAACACATTCTCAATTCTGTAATATTAAGCCTAAGCCATGAAGAAAATGAACAAGATGCGAATTCTTTCCAGTTTCCTTCCTTTCTGTTTGATAAGCCTAAGACCTTTTAAATAAAAATTAGTAAAACTTTTAATCTAACTTCATTTAAAACTTTGAATACAGTATGAAGGGAAGTGGAAGAACAAATTAAGTTAAAACTATTACTTTATAAATAATAAAAAGCTACTGATATTTTTAGTAAGTTTTAATTCCTGACCCCAGCCTGCTATGACCAAACTCATCTAAAATTCTTTGAAGTTACTTGCCCTGGATTGGTTTTATAATATCAACATAGATCTTTTTAGCAGGGAATAGAAATCAGGACTCCTATGTACTATTTTTGACTTTGTAATTCATTCAAAGGCTTTGATAAACCTACTTTACCCTCAATGTAAAATGGGGATAATACCCACCTTTCTAAAACACTCAGATCTTCTGATGAAAGGCATAAGCCTCACGGACTACTCCATATTACTAGCCCTTAAGTTTATGTGCACCCAACTGAATCTGTTGGTGAACTCCCAGTAGCACAAAGGCTACATCTGTTATATATATATAAAAAAAAAGATCGCAGCCACTTTCATTTTTAATATGAAGCAAAGCCAGTGGTCCTAGCATGCCGTACTGCCAGATCACTAGGATGTGGATAGAATGCTGCGACTTATTGTCTGAGACATCACGAGTAAACATTCTAATAGTTCACTTGAAGAGTACAAGTAGAGGAAAAAAAGGGCTTTTGCACTTGCACCTATGAGAATGTCTCTTGTGCACATGCATGCAAGCATCTGCCCCTCTCCCCCATCTCCTCCCCAGCTCTTGGTGGTACTGTAAACATCTGAGAAGTTGAAAGGATGGACTACTGTCCCGCCCCCTCCCCCAGTTGTGAGGACGCAATTGGGGGGGGGGGGGGGCTAGGAAGAGAAGCTATGTGTGGTTGATGAAGGAGAAGCGTTCACAGACAGGCTGGGATATTATACTCACCTGGGGGATGGTGGGCTGTGTCTTCCCTGTCTTGGAGCAGATACCTACCTTAACTGGCTGTAGGTGGCAGAGAGGAGACGCTGTAGCGAGAGAGTGCATGGGGCAGTCAGAGCCCCCTCCCTGCAGGCGGGGCTGGGCCCGCTCCTGCCTCTCTCAGTGTGAGGGATACTTACCCATCGGGGATAGTATTCTTCTTTACCATGCTGAAAGCGGGAGCAGGCAGAGCAGGAGGCAACGGTGAAAGTGGGCACTGCAGCAAAGGAGAGAGAACCGCGCAGTTAACACGGTGCCAATCTCTTTCTCCATTAAGATGGTCCGTCTCAGAGGGCTGACCCTAAATGCAAGCACAGCAAGCAGCCACTTCGGCTCCACATTTGATGCCATCAAGTTCTGCAGCTTGCAGGCTGGCCCATTTTCCTCTGCTGCAGTAGGACAGGAGGGAAAGACAGCAGGTCACCCCCCCACCCCCCATTTCCCCCGACACTTGAACCAGAGAAGAGGCAACAGATTTCTCCCTCAATTCGACTCTAGCAGCAGGGCTGAAGGGGTCAGAAAGATCTTAGTAGATCTTTCCTCCTCCTGTAGCAGATCTGCCCTCCCCTTGCACTCTCTGGGCCTCACTTCTGCTCCCAATGACGGAAGGGAAGATCAGCCCCGCAGCAAAGGAAGAAGATTCACCTGCCCAGCGCTAACCTAGCTGGGCCCGATCCTGCCAGGAGCTCAGCACGCCTCGGCTCCCGCGGACCTAGAGACCCCAGAACGGCCCCAAAGATAGCCCGGGGCCGCCGCTCCAAAGAAGATGCTTTTAGCTGGCGCGAGGCCCCAACCGCAAAGACGGCGCCCACCATCCTCTCTGGCCCCGGGAGCCCCAGCCCCGCGGCCGGCTCCCAGAGAAGGGAGAAGACGAGGCGAGCTGCGCCCAGACTCCGGGGGCTACCGGGTGCCGGCGAGGCAGCAGGATCAGGGATGGGGATGGGGATGGGGCTGGGGCTCGGAGGGAGGCGCGGGGACAGGCCGGGCCTGCGGTCAGGTCTCCTGAGTGTGAGAGCGGCAGGGCTTGGACCGTGAAGGGGGTGCGGTCGGGTCCCGGCGAAGCAGGGTGGGGGGCTGGGGCTGCAGGTCGCCCGTACCCTGAATGGATTTTCCTTGAAGAGAAAAGCTGTAGTAGCGACACAGACGACACAGAACCTTCCCGAAAGGGTCCGCACTGCGCAGGCTCAGCGACCGGCCAGCTAGTGTTTCACACTGCGCATGCTCATCAGTGGCCGATCGGGTCCGGGATATCTTAGTGCGCAGGCTCAACAACAAGCGGCCAGGTTTGTAGGTAGGCTCAATAACTGAAGGACTAGTGAGGCACGGGGTTATCAGTGCGCATGCCCAGCAAATAACTGGGGAAGTGGTGCGGTGTCAGTGCGCACGCTTAGAATCAGGATTGGGGTGGGGGGAAATGTATCAATGCGCATGCTCAGTATCCGCTGGCCTAACTAACTTCAATAGGTGAGAGCTGGGATCTTCTGGCTTGGGGACGCAGTTTATGGCCCATCCCTTATTTTTCCCTCAGGAGGACCACAGCTCCCGGCATACAGTGCGGCAACTGCGTCTGATCGGCTGGGCCCTCTCCGTCTTTGGTTGCGGGCGAGGAAGGGCGCGGTCGCTCCTACTTGTGCAACCCGGGGCTGAGGCGCGGGTGCAGGCCTGCGACTCTTGTGCGCTGAGGTGGGGGGACGGTGCACGTCCACAGTGTGCGCTGTCCGTGCTAGGATGCCCTTAGTCTCACACGCCGCCCGGAAGTCTTCTACACCCGGGTTTCTCAAACTTCATTGCACAGCGATCCCCGTCTGACAACAAAAATTACTACATGACCCCAGGACGGGGGCTGAGCTCTGCTGCTGCCCGGAGGAAAGTCTGAGCCTGAGCCTGCTGCTACAGGTGGTGGGGAGGGGGCAAAGCTAAAAACCAAGGGCTTCAGCCCCAGACAGGGGGCCTGTAACATGAGCTGTGCTGCCCTGGGCTGAAGCCCTTTGGTTTCGGCTTGGGCCGTGGGCAGTTGGGCTTGGGCTTCAGCTTCCACTCTTGGCAGTGGCAAATCTAAGCCAGCCCAGTGACCCCATTAAAACTGGGTTGTGACCCACTTTGGGATCCTGACCCACAGTTTGAGAACTGAGGTTGTACTCTGAAGTGCGAAGGTGCCTGCAATTTGCCCACAGCCTGGTGCTGAGTTGCTGACAAGGGTCCCTCGTTGCTGGTGCTGTTTGTTTAAAAACATTGCAGTTACCATTATGTGAGCAAAGTTACCAATATGAGAGGAAAGTGGTCAGGGATAGTTTTCCGAAGAAATTGGCACCTGATGGTGATGAGGCAGCTGTGTAAATTCTAGGGGACTTTCTTACTGTGCTGAGAGAGAAAAGGGAGAAAAAATTATCTAGAGTCTACATAAACCACAGAACTCCTTTAACAGCCTCTATGTTCTCTGCATATCTGAAAAGGTGTGGCTCCTTCTGTTCCCCACTCCCACTTTTGTACAGTTTCTGCCCTTCAGGGCTTCCCTCTTTTCTCCTGCTTTCTTCCCCGTTTATCTCAACTCCTATCACATGCAGGCTCCTCTTCAGCTGCCTGCCAGCTGTATCTTGTCTTTCAGGAGCACTTGGTTCCAGCTCCTGCCCTTGTTGTAGATAGCTGAAAGTGGGTGAGGATTGGGTCTTCCTGCTGATGAGAGAGGAGAAGCAGGCAGGAGGCTGCGGGAACAGGACAGCTTAGCTATAGGAGAAAAGTAGCTCAAAGAAAAAAGGCTGCCTAATTCTGTCACATATTCCTGGCTGTGATTAGTGGCTGGGACGCCTGTATCCCTGAATGACGGTTGAAAACCCTGGACTGTTGACAGCTGTGGCCTGAATAATCAAGGGTGTTGGCCACAAATGCTGAAGTCTGTGTAAAGTGCCACTTTTGTTCAGTTTTGACATATTATAATTTTGCATCAATCAGCTTGTTTTAATTTTACATGTTTTTTGTTTGAGAATTCACCTCTTTTAACTCTTTAAGAATTGGTTTTTCATTGCATAAATATAGATGTATCATACTTAGTCCTATTCCTCTTTTTGTACACAAGGCCACATTACACTTTTAATTATGTTCCTTTTGCCAGGGCTACGAATTAAGAGCCATATACTACAGGGGATCTTCCAATGGTAACAAAAGAAGGTTTGCACAAAGATTGTGAGTAGTATATGGCCACTAAACTTTGTCAGTAAAATTATTATTACAGTAGGTATCATTTGGCTGAGAAAAATGTTGCAGGATGCTTTTAGGATCATGGCTATTTCTGTCCTTTGATTATTTGTTTGTGCAATTAGCCAGGTTGTGTGTACAGTTGCAGTACTTGTACATTTCAGATTAGGCAGACAATTGTACAACTGTTTTTGAAATTATTAGCCTTCATTAGGATAAAAAATAAGCATTTCATGGGAGTAGTTCACACCTCTTTTGCACCTGCTCTTTCAGCATTCTATTGCTTCAGATTTTATTTATCAATTGAACCATAAAGACTAGAAGTATCAGTGCTGTCTTCTTTCTTTGTTCCAATTCTGTAGGATCTGGATGTGTATTGAAGTAAGGGGTGTGCGTAGCTGCACTCAGCTAATGATATTTGACTCTTCTTGAAGTAATACTTGTGGGCTATACCTCTCCAGCTGGGAGAGGATTGAATCAACAATATAGTAATAGTACTAGAACGTGGAACTCTTGATTCCTGTTCATGTTGTCTGGTGAACTAAAAATACATAGATTTCTGCTTCTCCTGGTCTCAGAATTCCGTTTTCTTGGCTTTTGCACACCAAGCCAATTTCCAGATTATGGTTATATGTCTCAAATGGCATATGTGCAAGTGTTTGGTGTGAAAGATGAATATTAAAAGCACCATGTTTAGTACAGAAGAAAGAACATAAGAATGGCCATATTGGGTCAGACCAATGGTCCGTCAGGCCCAGTGTCCTGTCTTCCAGCAGTGTCCAATGCTAGGGGCTTCAGAGGGAATGAACAGAACAGGCAATCATCAAGTGATCGTTTCCTGTCGTCCACTCTCAACTTCTGGCAGAAAAAACAAAACCAAAAAGTTGTGATAGGATAAAATAAATAGTTTCCCATTCTTTGACTAGTGTAATAATTTTCCTTCTGAAAAATTTATTTGTTCATAGTATACACTTTGATTGCAAATTCTACATAATAGAAATTGCTGTTCTCCCCTAGTGTGTCTCGCTGTACTCTAAGTGAAATTAATTATAAATTAAAAGATGAAGTTCTAAGCTTATTTTGGTTGATTGTGTCTTTAGAGAGGAGAGAGGGTTTATTTATGTAGGATAGATGCAGTTAAAACAACAAAGAAGTGGAGTATTACCTATAAGAAGAATGGGAAAAATAAAAAGTTTATCAAAAGCCAACAATAGACTCTGGATGGGACATGTAAGATTATATTTATATTATATTCATTCAGAAGTGAACTAAATAACTTTATTTAAATGATAAAATACAATTTTATTCTGTTGAAAGAGAGGAATTGTTCGATACTGTATAAAATAATAAAACCAAATATGGGCCTCATGTCTAAAACACTACATTACAATTACAGCCATATTAGGCGATCCAGTTATTACGCAGCTTCATTTTATGGTATAAATAGGACTTAACAAGCCATATTCTCAGATCTTGGTTTCTTTTGATCTGTCAATGAAGATGAGAGCACAAGTACTGATACATGTATGTTTTTTACTTATGTAAATGCTATGCAATTTAGATACAGCTCTCAGGCTCTTGGCAAGTTGCCAAACACGACTGTTGGGCAGTGTGGAAGGGGAGAGGGGGGTCCTAAAGTTTTGTATCTATTTGGTTTAGCACGTATTCTGGCATGTTAATTTGTTGTAATTTTCAGGTTAGTAACCTGATTATTTAGAAACCCATGTCATAGAGTTTAACACTAGAAGAGACTACCAGATCATCTAGTCTGACCTCCTGTATAGTGACCTGTATATCACAGGCCATGTAAACCAGTTGTCTGGAAATGTGGCCATCTGCACAACAATCATATTGTTGTTCCATATTGTTTACTGTTAACTATTTTAAATCAGGTTATAAACATAGATTTTAGTTGTTCATAGAATATCAGGGTTGGGAGGGTCCTCAGGAGGTCATCTAGTCTAACCCTCTGCTCAAAGCAGGACCAATCTCCAATTTTTGCCCCAGATCCCTAAATGACCCTCTTAAGGATTGAACTCATAACCCTAGGTTTAGCAGGCCAAGGCTCAAACCACTGAGCTATCCCTCCTCCCTGTTTACATATTGTAGTATGATATAATACAAATGTTAAATATCAAAATAGAAGTGTTTTATATAGTATTTCAATAAAATGCTTGCTACAAAATTATGTAACCAGAATTTAATCTGAATTTATTGTGGTGTCTAGCACTAGAAAAACATGAAATACAATGCACTATGATTGTGAAGTAGAGGATAGCTAACTTTAAAATATGTAAGAATTTGGAGCATCATGTCTGTCGATGAACATACTTTAAAAAAATTTTAATCATTGGAAGTATAGACATGTTTTTTTTTCTCTCTGTATTTCTGTCTCTGCATTTTTAAGAATTTAAAATGTTTTCTGTTGGTTTCATCTTATTCCTTCATGTTATATCATTAAACATATTTTAAAAAGCTGTATAAATATTGCTTTCGTGGACCCACTGGATTGAAGAGAAGTTAAATATTTTTATTTTGGGCAAAGTAACTTGTAATGGTCTGATAGTTGATAGGATTAATATCAAACAATGATATGACAATTTGTGTTTTTCAGTTTACTTACTATCTTGGTTGTTCAAACACTTCAGAATAAATGGATCCTGATCAAAAAGAAGAAGAAATGTCATCAGATAAAACAACTAAGGGAAGTTGTGTTAGTTGAAAAGTAAATGTTTTATATTCCTTTCCAGACAAAATACATATGACTGGATTCAGCATTCTTAATTCATGCTGGTTTAAGCTAACTACTGATGTTAATCATAATAATCGATAATAGAAATCTGTGAGTAGAAGACCCAGAGGATCTGTGGATTTTCTGTTTTGCACAGAGTCGTATTATTTTTTGTGGGGGAAGAGAGGAATATGTATAAGACAATATGTTGAGAACCAATAATAACAGGAGTGAAAAGTCATTAAATAGTAAAGCTCTGTAGTTTAGAGTTGAGATTTTTAGCTGCTAATGAAGTCTTCAATGTAAAGAACCAATAATGTCCTGAGGCTATGAAAAATAATTTAGTTAGAGGCTTGATCAGTTTAACCAATAACAAGCAATTCAGTCTGTGTTTACACTGCAGATATTCTCCTTTCACAGCCATGTTTGCGAATCTGCTCCTGTGTGGTACCTAACCATGTTTGTACAGAACATTCTGAGAAAATCTGGGCAATTTATTCCATAGTGTTTCATCAGGGGATATGGTGTCCACAGGATGTGCATAAAAGGAAACATCAGCATCATATGGTCCAATGTGCTATGGGATGCCCTTTGCAATAAGGAGATGGGGGGGAAAGGAGGACTGACCAAACAAATGCAGTTAGGGAGTCATATCCATACTGTATGCAAACATGCAGTGCTGAACTGGGTGTTGGATGAGTCTCTGGCAAAGGTGAAATGCTGCTATTGTTATTAATAGACTTTTAACCATGTGATGTGTGAACACAAATCATGTTTGAGCTAGCCATACCAGTAACTGACTACTAATCTAGTTAATTTTTTTTCTTTTTGTCCTTTTTCTCCCATTCTGTTTGATATTTATTGCACACTGTTTGTTGCTTCTGTCTTCTCCCAAACAGTTGCCTCTCACTTCTTGCCTCCTTGATGGTTGCCTTTCCCTGGTTATCTTACTTTCCTTACATTGATGGCTTTTCTTCCTTGCCCTGCTTTCTCTTCACTCTCGTAGTTGCTTCTGTTACGTGTTCACAGAATCATAGAATGTCAGAGTTGGAAGGGACCTCAGGAGGTCATCTAGTCCAACCCCTGCTCAAAGCAGGACCAATCCATAATTTTTGACCCAGATCCCTAAATGGCCTCCTCAAGAATTGAACTCTCAGCCCTCAGTTTAGCAGGCCAATGCTCAAACCATTGAGCTATCCCTCCCATTGGCTTCCTTTCCTCGGCAATTTAATACCCGCTTTCTTCCTCATATTCTTCCTCTTTCTTCTCCTTCTTATTATCAGGGTCATACCCCATTATGTAGGTGCAGCACAAACAGAGAGACATAGCCCATCACAAAGAATTTACAATAGAACTTAAAACAAAATGCAACAAGTGGATGTAACAAATGGAGGATAATACCTCATAATGTGTGGTTTCATAGGTGGGCTATGTGCACTACAGATGGTTTCAAGTGTCTGTCTTAAAAAATTGTAGGATATAAACAAAAATGATAAATGTCAGCAGTTCCTATCTGATACTTAGCTATTTTCTGCTCTGCTGTGATTTGCTCAGTTTCCTTCTCTTCTTATTTTCACTGCTGTGCTGTCTTTGCCAGAAGTATATGGTACAAGAAGTGGTGGCAGCAGAAGACCACTGACTGTTACCACTTGAGTATCCAACCCTTAAGGTAACATAAAAAGGCTGTCTTTGTGGTATCCTTGTGCTGTGTATAACTATATTAAGGCTGCAGAATGGTAGCACCCAGATTAGAACTTGGATTCTTTCCAGGTTTGTAAAACTGATCATTAGGAACGGTAATGCTGAGTCTGCAGGGTATATTATTGCCCTTGTCACTTCACAGCAATACATGCAATAAAGAACTTGGCTGCAGTAATTTTTTTTTTTAAGTGATATGCTATCTCCTTCAGTTACAGAGGATATAGAGAAAAAATATCCAAGGGGATTTCAGGAAAAAAAAAAAAATGTAATCCTAAATACTTCTACTAGATGGAACTTTAGGGACCATGGGCATTGTACCGTTCAACTGGTTAGAGAGATTGCTGTAGAGTCATGTAAGATATTTTTATTTCCCAAGGATGATCAGTTTTTTGCAGATCTCCTAGCACCTTGACTGTGAGGAAGAGGAGAATTTGGATTTCCTACATTTCAGTATAAAGCACTGATACTAGGCCTCTCTTTGGACCAGACCTTGAGAGGATCTTAAATTATGGAAATTCTGACTTTCCTTTGTCCTTATATGGCAGACCCAGACAGCTGAGACATAGATTAGGTACCAAGGGAAAAAATGTGAGATTGACAGACCAGGTGGAGGAGCTGCATACCAAATGCAGCATCCAGATTCTGCCACGTCAAATTAGAGAAACCAATATTGGCAGTCAAAACAAAAACCTATCACTACTACAGAAAAGCCCCCCTACTGTCAAGGTTTTAGTCCACGCAAGCTTATGCTCAAATAAATTTGTTAGTCTCTAAGGTGCCACAAGTACTCCTCGTTCTTTTTACTTAAGACATGTATCCTATAGATAATAATAATGTAAGCTTTAGGATTCTGTTTTCTAATTCTCCAGAAAAAGGATGCTCAGAAAGCAATTCTGAAGAGGATCTCTCAAAGAAGAGAAAGTGCTAGAAAAAAGGTGAATTTGTTAACGCTACGTTTTAAAGATCTATACTGTACTAGCTCTTTATTAGAACAGATATTAGAAAATACTTTATCTTGTGGAATCCAAGTATTTTGATGCCTTGGGCTCTGTATGGAATGGTACATATATACTTAGTGGTGACCACTAGCTGTTAAAAAGTAGTACAGATATTTTTCAGTAATACATTACCCTTTCGATAAAGAGTATCTTATGTTAACAATATCTTGTTTTATTTAGCCCAAATACATTCTTTAGAACTAAAATGCCCACTTTAAAATTGTTTGTGAATGTAATTTTCTCACAAGCATTTGACTTAATTTATCTACATGACAATGTTTTTACTTCCCAACAAAGCTTTTTTGTACAGATATTCCAAAGTCCAGACTTCATACTGATAGCAGAGTTGTCCTTTCAAGAGATAGTTAGGTTATGTCATATTTTAAAAGAAATCCATGCATGTGTTATACAACCTTAGATTGTTAAAAGTGAAAATGGTGAAAATCTAAATTTCTTTTCACCAGTTATGCTGCTTCTAGACTGGTCAGCTTAATTTTCCAGTTCTCATGGATTTGTGTGATGCTGTTGTGCCTGGTTTGCAAAGTTTGTAGGGGGAATGATTAAATCAAAACAAAACACAAGTTGTTTGAAATTATTTAGAAATACAACTTTATAAACAAAATGTTAATTTTGGCCTACATTTTTGGACAGTGCCTCTTTAACTCTGCTATCCCTTTGGCTAGGAGGAATAGATACTAAACAGTTAAATTGTTTGTGATTAACTGCTTTTCTGTTTCATAGATTCTTAGTGTTTAAGGCCAGAAGGGACCATAAGATCTTTTAGTCTGACCTCCAGTATATCTCAGACTATTAAATTTCACCCAGTTACCCCTGGATTGGGCACAATAAGTTGTTTTGCTAAAGCATATCTTCCAGAAAAGCATCCAGCCTCGACTTGAAGACATTGAGATGGACATTTTACCACATCCTGAGGCAGTTTGTTCCAGTGGTTGATCATCCTTGTTGTTAAAAATTTGTGTCCCAATTTCTCAGTTGATTTTGTCTGGCTTCAGCTTCCAGCCATTAGTTCTTGTTACGCCTTTCTCTGCTAGATTAAGGAGCCCTTTAGTACCCATTATTTTCTCACCATTATCAAGTCCCCTTTGAATCTTTTGATAAACTAAATAGATTGAGCTCTTTAAGTCTCGCTGCATGGCATTCTCTCCAGACCTTGAATCATTTGTGGCTCTTTTCCTGAACCCTCTCCAATTTTTCTACATTCTTTTAAAAATGTGTCCTCCAGAATAGGATATGGTATTCTAACAGCAGTCTCGCCAATGCTGTATGCAGAGATAAAGTCACTTCCCTTCTCTCTACTCTCCTGTTTAGCTCTTTTTAGCACAGCATCGCACTGGGAGCTCTGGTGTTGCTTGTCTACTCTGAGTCTAAATTCTTTAGAGTCACTGCTTACCAGGATACAGTCCCCCATTCTGTAGACATTGCCTTCATTCCTTGTTCCTAGATGCCTAACTTCACATTTGGTGATATTAAAATGAGTTTTGTTTGAATGGGCCCACGTTACCAAGCAATCCAGATTGCTCTGTATGGCTACCCTATCCTCATTATTTACCACTCCATTTAGATTAATCAATCTTCTGAGGCTTTTCTCCCTAATTAGCTATATTGTCTTTCAAAAGGACATGGTGATTCAGATCAACCCACATTTTTTTCTAAATATAGATTTAAGACTCTACTGTAACCAGTCAATTTCATTTTCCATTTTTTAATCTAGAATATTTTCTTAGACATCATTAGTGTCTTAAATTACTCTCTTAATTAAAACTAATGTTTTCCTGAAATCTTTTGTACTATTTGTTCTTTACAGACCCAGGTCTATAGGTGCAGAGGAGAGCCTCGGATATAAATGGTAGTTTAAAAGTGTGAAATGCGCTTCCTAAGACAGATTTTGCTCAGTTATGATGGTGTAAATCTGTAATAATTCAACTTTCTTCAGATGAGCTATTGTGGATTTACACCAGTGTAACTGAAAACAGAACCAAGTCATTTTCTGTAAAAAGAAGTACAATTTGCATCCAATGGTCTGAAGGAAGGTAGCACAGTTTTCAGCCTGTACTTGGATTTTCCACAAAGGAGGTATTTCTTCTTGTGGATGGTTTTAAAGAATTCTTTGTATATAGCTAACTAATGGGTTGCTAGATATATTGTTAGATTAAAGCAGGTTAAAATATTAATTGTTGGGACATCTATTAAACCAATGAAGTTTAATAGGTAACTGGAGAACATTTTGAACAAGAACAAGTTGAAAGCAGCCTTCAGAGGAACAGCTGTGTTATCTCTTATTTATGGTACAGTGTGATACTGTCCAACATTCCTGCCTGCTTTTAACATTGGGGAAAATAAGGTTGATTTGAATATGGTATTCTTGTACAGCATCTTATTGGTTATTAACCTTTTTCCTTTCCTGTATTTCAATGTTATTTCTATAAACTTAGAAGTTTAAATTTTGACACATGAATGTATTCATGATTTTACTGATTTATAGTATATCTATTACTATGAAATCTGGAACCATTACAGATTAGCACAAGCATCAGTTTATAAATGCAAATTTAAAGTGGCAGCAGCAAAGATGATGCTTTAGTACAGAACTATTTGGAAAGACTTAACTCAAAAGATGGACTTTGCACCATTCTCTAACAGTTTAAGTGGGGCTTTGACAAACCACCAGAGGGAGCATATTCTGTAGTCAGGAACTCTGCACCAAGAATTATTCTGCCTCTAGTCCTCAAGAGTGCCCAGCTATGGACTGTCAACAAAACCCACGCAGTTAAAATTAACCAACTTGCTGTTGCATGGGGAGAGTCAGTCCCAAAGTAGCCAGGTGCAAAATATATACGGCTTTATAGATTAAATCCCTCACCTATAAATTACATTCGGAAGCAGATAGAAAGGTAGTTAAGTACACAGAGCACAAATGCAGTATGCTAATTAAGTCCCACTGCACTAATAATAATATTTGGTGCTTCGGTAGCATTTCTTATTGCGTTAAGGCACTTTATAAAGTTTAGTAAATTCTTTCCCCATTTTATATATAGGGGAAAAAACATTGAGAGGTCCTTTACTCTTAACCTCTGAGAGGACACTGATTCTAACCAAGCCAGAGGACTGCCGCATTTTGCGTTAGTCCACTCCAGGCCCTCCGGACAAGTAGACTTTAGAGGAGGGAAACGGAATAATGTTTGTTAGAATGTTGTAAAGATAGCTGGTACCTATCCTGTTAAGAGCTTTAAATGTTAGAACCAAAACCTTGAATTCAATGCGCATACCAATAAGCATCCAATGGAGACAGCACATTCTCTTGCATACCCCAAATGATTGCCCTCCTGCAACAGCTTTAGACAGTGTGTCAGTTTTTTAGGTGAAGTTGCTCTATATAATGTTCATTGCAATGCTCAACTTCATGGTTACAATGGCATGCACTACCTGATGAATGTACAAAAGGAAGAGATGCAGGCTGGCAACATTTGTGGAGGTTCTAATATTGCTCTAACAACTGATTCAAAAAAAATATTTTAATTGTTTAAGTATTTCATAAAAATCAAAAGAAATCTACTAACAGTAAAATACGTTTAAATATAGTTTGATAAAAAACTAGTTACAAAACTAATCAGATTTAGCTCCAGTATTTCTTGTGCTAAATTTTACTCTGTTAGTAGTAATATAATAGATTTTTAGCAGTGTAAGTAAGAGCAGAATTTGGCCCAATATCTCTTTTATTTACTGTATCCTTTCAGGACAGACACATTATATTTGTGAAAGTAAATATTTAATCTATTAGACCAGTGGTTTTCAACCTTTTTTCCATTTGGGGACACCTAAAAAAATTCAAATGGAGGGGTGGACCCTTTTGGAAATCTTAGACATAGTCTGCAGACGGCCAGGGATCCGCAGGTTGAAAACCACTGTTCTATGGTAACAACAACCTTTTGCAGACCTCTTAGACATACTCTGCTGACTCCCAGGGGTTCATGGACCACAGGTTAAAAACCAATTGTGTGACATACTCCCGGACCACAACCTGGAACTGTGGGACTTCTGAGTCACCTTAAACTCTCCTCCCTGAGTTCTCTCACAATGCTATGCTAGTGACAAGCAGCCAACCCGTCCAGGTGCTGTGATCACTACAGCAGGGAGACTGAGCTCCGCCCCACCCCAGCTCTCTCTCCCCTCAGCAGCACCTGGGCTTGGGGGGGAGAGGCCCCTCTCCCCACCGCGGCAACTCTGGGGTTGGGGCCGCAGGATAGGTGCCTCTCCCCCAGCAGCGGCAGGTCCGGGCCAGGGCTGGGTATCAGCCCCCCTCGGCACCCCAACCCTCAGCATGGATTCACCAAGGGAAGGTCATGCCTGACTAATCTAATCGCCTTCTATGATGAGATTACTGGTTCTGTGGATGAAGGGAAAGCAGTGGATGTATTGTTTCTTGACTTTAGCAAAGCTTTTGACACTGTCTCCCACAGTATTCTTGTCAGCAAGTTAAAGAAGTACGGGCTGGATGAATGCACTATAAGGTGGGTAGAAAGTTGGCTCGATTGTCGGGCTCAACGGGTAGTGATCAATGGCTCCATGTCTAGTTGGCAGCCAGTGTCAAGTGGAGTGCCCCAGGGGTCGGTCCTGGGACCGGTTTTGTTCAATATCTTCATAAATGATCTGGAGGATGGTGTGGATTGCACTCTCAGCAAATTTGCGGATGATACTAAACTGGGAGGAGTGGTAGATACGCTGGAGGGCAGGGATAGGATACAGAGGGACCTAGACAAATTGGAGGATTGGGCCAAAAGAAACCTGATGAGGTTCAATAAGGATAAGTGCAGGGTCCTGCACTTATGACAGAAGAACCCAATACACAGCTACAGACTAGGGACCGAATGGCTCGGCAGCAGTTCTGCAGAAAAGGACCTAGAGGTGACAGTGGACGAGAAGCTGGATATGAGTCAGCAGTGTGCCCTTGTTGCCAAGAAGGCCAATGGCATTTTGGGATGTATAAGTAGGGGCATAGCGAGCAGATCGAGGGACATGATCGTCCCCCTCTATTCGACATTGGTGAGGCCTCATGTGGAGTACTGTGTCCAGTTTTGGGCCCCACACTACAAGAAGGATGTGGATAAATTGGAGAGAGTCCAGCGGAGGGCAACAAAAATGATTAAGGGACTGGAACACATGACTTATGAGGAGAGGCTGAGGGAACTGGTATTGTTTAGTCTGCAGAAGAGAAGAATGAGGGGAGATTTGAGAGCTGCTTTCAACTACCTGAGAGGTGGTTCCAGAGAGGATGGTTCTAGACTATTCTCAGTGGTAGAAGAGGACAGGACAAGGAGTAGTGGTCTCAAGTTGCAGTGGGGGAGGTTTAGGTTGGATATTAGGAAAAACTTTTTCACTAGGAGCGTGGTGAAACACTGGAATGCGTTGCCTAGGGAGGTGGTGGAATCTCCTTCCTTAGAAGTTTTTAAGGTCAGGCTTGACAAAGCCCTGGCTGGGATGATTTAATTGGGGATTGGTCCTGCTGTGAGCAGGGGGTTGGACTAGATGACCTCCTGAGGTCCCTTCCAACCCTGATATTCTATGATTCTATCACTACATCAACATGTGGAGGCACACACCCAGCTGAAGTGTATGAATGCTTTCTAAGGCTCTCATGAATTAGACACAGGGAGACTCCAGCCAATCACCTTAGCCCTCAGCCTTGCACCCCAGAAAATATACCGTCTTACACTGCTCAAGACCTCTTGAACAGTGCAAGCTCATTAATTAATTTACCGCTTTGACAAAGGAAAGTGAACATGACCAGCCTTTGTAATCTGAGCAGATTCCCCACTTTAGACAAACTCACTGGTAAGGACAAAACATTAAAATAAGTTTAGCAACTACAGAAAGATAGATTTTAAGTGATTATAAGTGTTAGGCACAGAGTACATAGTTGGTTACATAAGAAATAAAAATAGAATCACAGTCTAAATTCTAACTTTAACAGACTAACACTGGATGTTCCATGCATTTTACAGTTCTTAATACACAGGCTGATGTCCCTTCTCATCCTGGGGCAAGTCTCCACAGTTCATTGTCTTCCAAACGATCTTCTCTGTGTTGAGACTGGGAAGGAGAAAGTCCCAGTGATGATGTCATATGGGCCATCCATACCCATATGCAAAGTATGTAGCTGTGTAGGGCACCAGAAAATTTGGGGCACCAAATTTCCTGGTGCCCTGCGCAGCTGCGTGTTGCTCCAGTCCCTGCTCCGCTCAGCCCTGCCCCCACTCTACCCCTCCCCAAAGCCCCAGCCCCACCTCTTTCCGCCCCTTCTCTGCCTCAGCCCTGTCCCGGTGGTGGGAAGTGCAGCGACCCAGCGCCAGCTGCACCACCAGTGAGTGCTGGGGGGGTGATTCTGCCCTGCTCCCCAAGCCAGCCCCCAGAGACCTAGGGACAGCCCTCTCCTCCTGTGAAGGCCTTGGGTCAGCCTACACCCAGAGGCCTGGGTCCTCACACCTCCCCCCCGGGGGGGCTGCGTAGGGCCCCAGAATAGCTAGGGACAGCCTTGCGTGAACCCTCATTTATAGTTTATTTCCACATGCTAGAAAGATCTTTGCTATGAGGTGGGGGTCAGGTAGCCCCCATTGTATATGTGCCCTCTCTGAGGAGTTTCTGGGAGAATGCATTCTTGATGAGCCATCAACGCCTGTCTGGCCAATCTAGATGCAAATCTGTCTTGTCAGTGTTAGTTACTCCTTTGTGGCCACTGAAAGGCTAGCTATGAGCGTTTTCCTTTTATCATATATTACAGCAACAAATATAAAGCATTACTTCATAACTTCACATACAATGATAGTACATACAATTCAACAGGATATTAATGGTCAAAAAATCAAGACTTCTTAAAGAATACCTCCACAAGGCATGCACTGTAGAAAACATATAATCATATCACAGTGGTAAATATGGGGGTTCCAGAGTACTAGTTTGATGTACAGAGTGTCATACACTGTGTTAGACACTTACCGATAGCAAGTACTATAAAATGTTACACAAGCAGTGCAATATGCAAGGCTAGAAAATATTAAATGTAGGATCTGCAGTTTAATTTTAAAACTTTTACTTTAAATCTTTCCTCTGGTCATTTGTTTTTCATAGTTGACTGAAGACAGTGAACATGTTATTAGGCATCAAACAGAAGAATTTGTAGATCAGAATTTCCAGGAAGGTAGCTCAATAAAGATGCTTGTCTTTGCTCTTGATTGATATTGTTTGATGAAGATGCACTTATTGCCTGAGCTGGAACCATATTATATGTTTATTGGTCCAGATTGATACCCACACTCACATTGAACAACACTATATTCAATGGAACTTCTCATGGTGTAAGGCAGCGGTTCTCAAACTGTGGGTTGGGACCCCAAAGTGGTTTGTGACCCAAGTTCCCTCTAAGGTGCATGGCCACATAGCCGCGCAGCAGTCTATTAAGTACCACGCAGCTCAGGGCTGCAGTAGGGAGAGATGCCTCTTCCCTAGCCCTGGACCTGCTGTGGCCGGGGGAGAGGCGCTGGCCCCAGCCCATCCCCGGACCTGCCGCAGCGTGGGGAGCAGCGTCTCTCCCGCGGCCCCAACCCAGCCCTGGCCCAGACCTGCCGCTGCTGGGGGAGAGGCGCCTATCCTGCGGCCCCAACCCCGGAGCTGCCGCGGTGGGGAGAGGGGCCTCTTCCCCCCTCCCCCCCCCCCCGCCCAGGTGCTGCTGAGGGGAGAGAGAGCGGGGGGGCGGAGCTCTGTCTCCCTGCTGTAGCCCTGGGGCAACCTGCACCCCAAATCCCTCATCCCCAGCCCCATCCCAGAACCTGCACCCTAGCCAGAGTCCTCAGCCCCCCTCGGCACCCCCAACCCTCTGGCCCAGCCCTGAGCCCCTCATCCCCAGCCCCTCCCCAGAGCCTGCACCCCCAGCTGGAGCCGTCACCCTCCCACATTCTGAACCCCTCAGCTCCACCCCCGCCACATGAATTTTGTTATGTGCACCAATATGGAGGTGATGAGTATTGGTGCACATAACAAAATTCATTCTGCACATGCGTGGGAAAAATTAGAGGGTACACTGGTTGTGACCCAATTTTAATGGTGTCACCAGGGCCAGCATTAGTCTTACTATGACTCAGAGTTGAAGCTGAAGCTCCACTCTCACCTCAGGCAGTGGGGCTTGGGCTCCGGGTCCCCTCTCCTCCCACCCGGAGCAGCAGGGCTTGGGCTCCACACCCAGGTAGTAATTTTGTTGTTAGAAGGGTGTTGCAGTGCAGTGAAGTTTGAGAACCCCTGAAAGTTGTTATTCACCATAAGTAAGGGTATAACAATTGGGCTCTTTGTGAATACATACTTTACTATATTTTCAGGGTTGTCAAACTAACAGTGAATGAAGGTGATTGCAAAATGCTGAGTTTGATGATTGATCACTTGTTGATTATCTGTTCTGTTCATTCCCTCTGGGGCACCTGGCATTGGCCACTGTTGGAAGACAGGATACTGGGCTAAATGGACCTTTGGTCTGACCCGGTATGGCCGTTCTTATGAGTGAGATTTTTAACAAAATGTGAAATACATTGCAAATATTTTCATAATAAGCGATACAACCTTCCGTCCAACACTGACTTAAATTTAATTCAAAATTAAGGCAGAGCTACATTTTTAAAATTAGTGTAATGCTACAAAATGGTTTCAATTATTTACTTTTATTACGTATTTATTTTGATTAATTAAATAAATCTGAGAGTGTGTCTCAGATTCTAGGCCAAATTATTAAAACAATTATATTTTATTAGAAATTAACCCTTTTATGTTCACATACACGTACACATTTAAGATGAAACTTCTTAAGATGTTCACATACACATTTAAGATGAAACTTTTCTTTCCAAAGTTGAATTTATTTAGAAAGTTTGATCCCAGTTTCTCTAATTGTTTGATGTTGGCAAGGAAAAAATATGCTTGTCTCATAAAAATATTAACCACATATTGTTTGACAAGGTGTCAAAAAAGCTAAACTTCACAATTTAAAATGATGTAAATAATTGTCATCTCTATGAGGAGTAGTGTCTTTGTTAGGTTTGAAAAAGGTTAGTTTTGATGTATCAAAGTATTGCCTATTTGAAAATGGTATTCTGTGCATATATGGCTCCAGATGTTAAATCTAGAGGTATGCGCTATGGGCCAGATTCTGAAGTTGGTTAGTTCACTGTAAAGCATGAGTTAACCATGAAAACAGATGGAGTTACTTCAGATTTACACTAATCTTAGATCAGTACTTGGCCAGTTCTGAGAGAATACTTCACATTAGGGAAGTATTCACTTTAATAAAGATAGGATCTTTTCCCCCTCCATTTGTCTCTGAATCTGTTACCTTCCACCAACTACCCAGCACTTCAGTTGTCATCTTCTCCCCTAGATCATGTTTCTATTAATGTGATGATTGGAATTGAATTATATACTGAAGTCCTGCTGAGCATGCTGGTTTTCATGAAGCCAAGAGAGAGAAGGAGTGGCCTTGTTTACAGCAGTCAGTGCAAATCCATGCACTGAACATGGGAGGCAGCTAAGTCAGGAAGCAGCTGCTGAGTTTAAATTATTTGAACATTCTTATTTGAATGCATGGGGACAAGATGCTATTTCAGATAAGGAAGGTTTGGATGGATCTTTGTTCGTATATTCAGTATAAAATGGTAAAGTTAACAGACATCAAATTTTCAAATTGGGCTCAAGAGGCCACATATTTTGCTTTTGTTCCTGTAGTTATGCCTCAAATCGGCATGTGTATGCATGAATATGGTAACTAGTAGTCAGGGTTCTGCTTTCTGAATTTTTTTTTATGTAACTTTAGAAGCCAGTTTGAAAATTTGATCCTGGACATCTGTGTTTTTCAGACACCCAGGATTTAAAAAAAAAAAAATCCTACAAATTGTACATGTTACAAGATTCTAGTTATATCTTGGTGATTCTGTTTACATCTATAAAACTGCCTGATGAACACTATTGTATTGCTATCTAATACCTTTCATAAGAAGACCATTCTATTCACTATAAATAATTAATAGTAAATGGGCTATGCACTGCAGAAGAATATACTTTAAAAAAATAGTATTTAGTACCACAAGAAGGTGTGTTAAAAATTTTGTGCTATGCTATTTTTACACTGGATGTGGCTGATGTAGAAAAACAAAGGCGTGTAACTGAAGCATTACGAGGTAGAGTAAGAGAGAAACTGAAAACATACAAGGTAACTTATTTTTCTTGGACTTGTAATTTATTAAGTGAAACATGCAACAAGCTACATTTTTTGTGTGTGCGAAAAGCTGAAAGTTCTGTCAATTTAGAAAACTTTTCTGCTGTGCCACACTGTTCAGAGCACCTCCAAAAGTTAAGTACAAGATCTGTAAAAGTTGTAAGTGAATTAAGTTTTTGGCTTTCTGCATACTTTTCAGAACAATAATTGTATTGGTTGTTTCTGTAGAAAATAAGTATAATACTATACCTCTTATTTTAGGTTGTACAAGAAGAAAAGTCAACAGACAAAAGCCTCTCTGATACTAAAATATACCAGAAAAACCTTGAAGTGAGGACTGAGGTAATAAATTTTACAAATATTGCAAATAGTAAACAAAATAAGTAAGCTATATACATTATATTCAGTTCAATGCAAAAAATGCATGCGTTAAGTTTCCAGTAGTATCTTTAACTATGATATATGGCATGCATCTACTCACATTTTGTTACTAATTTGTTGGTTAATATATTGCTGTTTGTTATTTAATGTATATATTAATAGAATAGGATAGAAAGCTGGCTAGATTGTTGGGCTCAACGGCTAGTGATCAATGGCTCAATGTGTAGTTGGCGGCTGGTATCAAGCTGAGTGCCCCAGGGGTCAGTCCTGGGGCTGGTTTTGTTCAACAACTTTATTAATGATCTGGATGATGGGATTAATAGCACCCTCAGCAAGTTCACAGATGACACTAAACTGTGGGGAGAGGTAGATACGCTGGAGGGTAGCGATAGGCTCTAGAGTGACCTAGACAAATTGGAGGATTGGGCCAAAAGAACTCTGATGAGGTTAAACAAGGACAAGTGCAGAGTCCTGCACTTAGGAAGAAAGAATCCCATGCACTGCTGCAGGCTGGGGACCGACTGGCTAAGCAGCAGTTCTGCAGAAAAGTACCTGGGGATTACAATGGATGAGAAGCTGGATATGAGTCAGCAGTGTGCCCTTGTTGCCAAGAAGGCCAACGGCTTATTGGGCTGTATTAGTAGGAGCATTGCCAACAGATCGAAGGAGGTGATTGTTCCCTTCTATTTGGCACTGATGAGGCCACACCTGGAGTATTGCATCCGGTTTTGGTTCCCCCACTACAGAAGGGATGTGGACAAATTGGAGAGAGTCCAGCGGAGGGCAACAAAAATGATTAGGGGGCTGGGACACATGACTTACGAGGAGAGGCTGGGGGAACTGGGGTTATTTAGTCTACAGAAGAGAAGAGTGAGGGGGGATTTCATAGCGGCCTTCAACTACCTGAAGGGGGATTCCAAAGAGGATGGAGCTAGGTTGTTCCCAGTGGTGGTAGATGACAGAACAAGAAGCAATGGTCTCAAGTTGCAATGGGGAAGGTCTAGGTTGGATATTAGGAAACACTATTTCACTAGGAGGGTAGTGAAGCACTGGAATGGGTTACCTAGGGAGGTGGTGGAATCTCCATCCTTAGAGGTTTTTAAGGCCTGGCTTGACAAAGCTCTGGCTGGGATGATTTAGTTGGTGTTGGTCCTGCTTTGAGCAGGGGATTGGACTAGATGACCTCCTGAGGTCTCTTCCAACCCTAATATTTTATGATTCTGTGATTCCAGATATTCATTGCAGCCAAATTAATGTTACTGGTGAAATGTTAACTGTTGAATTATTGACTTTTAATGAGTTTAACTGTATAACCTGAATGCTGCATTTGCGTTTTCTGACTTTTTTGTGATTCATAAGGTTTGATCCTGCACAAGAGAGGTGCAGAATGTTGTGCATAATGGCCATACTTGGCAGAATTTTATTTTATTTTTTTTATAAATTTGATAGGTAATAGTATTTATTTATAAGTGTTTGCCCCATTTTTATTGACTTAAATTTTCAGAATTGCAGGAAATTAGTGGGGGTCAGAAAACCAGGCGGTGAGCAATAATTATTTAATTACAGTAGGTGTTGACATTCAAAAAGTCAAAGCTTTAAAACTGTTAAAACACAGATTGTCAACATCATATGTCAAAACATTTTTTTTTTTGAGATATACCTATCTCATAGCACTGAAAGGGACCTTAAAAGGTCATCGAATCCCGTCCCCCTGCCTTCACAGCAGGACCAAGTACTGTCCCTTATTTTAGCCCCAGATCCCTAAATGACCCCCCAAGGATTGAACTCACAACTCTGGGTTTAGCAGGCCCATGCTCAAACCACTGAGCTATTCCTCCCCTAATGTACAAAGTAAATACACTTAACTCAAACTAGTAAGTTCTCAAGCAGCATTTTTCTTACTTTGTCTATCTGTAAATTTTGACTATTATTGATGAAATTATTTTTGGTTCGCTTGTGTGTGTATAATGGTATCAATGTCTCTCGACATTCCTGATCGCCATCACGGTGGCAAGAAGGATAGGGGAGATAGCGACTCTGGTGCATCCCTCCTTCACAGTGTTTTTCCCTCACAAAGTCACACTTAGACCACATCCAAAGTTCACTCCCAAGGTGATCTCTGCATTGCACGTGAACCAACTGATGCACCTTCCAACCTTTTATCTCAAACCTCATCAGGATAATAGGGTAGTCATGCTCCATATGCTTGACATTAGGAGAGCCTTAGCCTATTCGGCAGGAGAAGAGTTTTTAGAAAATCTCCAAGACTCTTCCTCTCCATTGCGGATAGTTTGAAAGGCCCAACAATTTCAGCTCAAAGACTCTCCAAATGGGTCTTGAACTACATCAGACTTTACCAGATTTACAATTTAGCACCCCCATCCACAGTACACTCTTCGAGATTGGTCTCTTGTCCGTCACCTTTGCCCAGGGTATCCCTGTATCAGAAATCTGCAAAGCAGCTACCTGAGCATCTGCACACACTTATGCCATATTGGGGGACTCTGCTGCAGATGCTTGATTCGGCACCACAGTTCTTTCGTCCATGACAGACTCGACTCTGAAGCCCCATCCTTCAGTGGGAGGTAATGCTTGGGAGTCACCCACAGTGGAGCACTCATAGGGACGCTACTTGAAGAAGAAGTTACCTTGTGCAGTAACAATGGTTCTTTGAGATGTGTGTCCCTATGCGTGCTCCACGACCCACCCTCTTCCCCTCTGCTTCAGAGTTCTTGGCAATAACTCTGCAGTAGAGAAGGAACTGAGGAGGATTTGCCTTTGGCAGAGCATGGGGTAGAGGGCAGCGCATGCATGGGCTGAACGGACACTGCTACAAAAGTTCTCCAATCAGCAGTGGAGGAACGCAGATATACTTAAAGTGAGCACCCATAGGGACACGCATCTCAAAGAACCATCATTACTGCACAAGGTGAATAACTTCTTCTTGTGGCCATCTCTGATAAGTTACTGAAAATCAAAACAATTCTATACTTCTAAATCTGAAAAAGATTTTTTTTCTGGTTACATGCAAGATTTTTACATAGCTACATAATAATGATGATTGCTGAAGACTCGTGTTTTTGCTTGGGTTTTGTTTGTTTTTTTTCATCCTTAGACAGAAATCTTATCCGATGACAGTTTAGCATTTTTTATCATGACTGGTGAAGAAGGCTCAGAATTAAAAGATTTGGACAAAAATACATATCAGGTATAGTATTTTTTCTTCATGAAAGTCAACTGAATTCCTTAAAGAATGTCTCATATTTATCTAATCCTCCTTGTGTATTCTTAATTTAACTAATGCCACTCTCCTTTAAGCATCTATCAACTATTGTAAAGCACCCATCACTGTAGTTTCAAGGCACATTTTTTTCTTTCCCTAGGTAATTCTGTGCCTCCTTTCATGTCTCCCCAAAAACCTCTCCTATGAATCTCATCTCAAAACTTGCTTCAGTTAGCTGGCTTTCAGTCATTGATCACTGTTGAATCCTATTGCCAGTCTTTCTCCTGAGCACAAAAGAGTTATTTATATACAAGAAAAAAAAAGTTAACTTTACAACTCAAATATTTGCTACCCATAATTCATGCCCATAAAATAAAACACAATCAAAATGCCCTTCCAAGAACTGTGTCCCCTCTTGTTTTGTTTCATTAATTCTCTTAAACCATTGCTGATCATGTCTTTACTCTTCAACACTTGGTTATAAGCTTATCAAGGTAGGGACCTTGTCTTACTTTTTGTATAAATTATAATGAACATCACTGGTGGTACTAAATAATATGCAACATTTGGATTGTATAAAGGATAAACAACTATGCATCATAGGATTATAAAAAAGTTGGAGATTTAAAGTGACATCATAGTAAACTATTGGTAAGGCAGAACAAAATAATAGTAAGACAAATCCATCAGTAGTCTACTTTTTTCTACAACTAGAACTCAATATCTTTTGTGTGTGAAGTATGTAGAGTTTAAAATAAACTAAGGCCCCAATCCTGCAAAGACTTTTTATGTTGCCACAGCCCTGGTGAAGTTTCCCACGTTAGACATTCACCAGGCTGCTGCATTTGAATCCCAAAATGCTCGACCCATGTGATTTAAGCTTCCATGGGTTTGAGTAGACTCCATCACTGTATCTTTCTTTAGCCTCTTTGGCACACTTATGGGAAGAGACTTTGTTATACCTTCATGGAAGTGGGACCTCATGGTTCAGCTTCTATAAGCCCCAAGACCAGTGCTGACTCCTCCAAGACACCAGTTGCATAAGCAGAGCTCCAGCCTTGTGGGTACTTTGGTTTACCATTTACCTCTCCATGGATATGTGATAGTTGAAGCACATAACAAACAGGCTTTGCAAAGGTTTTCTAACAAACTTATTCTTTACTTTAGATAGCACAAGAAATTGAAGAATCTGGTTAGAAAAATAAAAATCCTGTCCACGTTTCTCTGCTTCAGTTTCCTCACTGCATTTGAGCATTCTCTGGGGTCAGGTCAGAATTTTTTAAGGAGTCCAGGATCCATCCATCCTTCCTCTCCTCCTTCCCTCTTGCACATGGCTTCTCTTTCAGAACATGGAGTCCTTCTCATTCCTGCAGCCTATTTCTGGTCTTTTTCCCCCTCTCTCTCCAAAATGGCTGGTGAGAGACCTTTTCTTTTATAACCTCCTTTGTAGCATGCTGATTAGTCTCATCAGGTATTCAGTCTCCCACCAGTGATCCATTGCTTAGTTAGAATTATAGAATATAAGTGTTGGAAGAGACCAATCCTCTGCTCAAAGCAGGACCAACACCCATTAAATCATCCCTGCCAGGGCTTTGTCAAGCCGGGCCTTAAAAACCTCTAAGGATGGAGATTCCACCACCTCCCTAGATAACCCATTCCAGTGCTTCACTGCCCTCCTAGTGAAATAGTGTTTCCTAATATCCAACCTAGACCTCCCCCATTGCAACTTGAGACCATTGCTTCTTGTTCTGTCATCTACCACCACTGGGAACAACCTAGCTCCATCCTCTTTGGAATCCCCCTTCAGGTAGTTGAAGGCTGTTATCAAATCTCTCCTCACTCTTCTCTTCTGTAGACTAAATAACCCAGTTCCCTCAGCCTCTCCTCATAAGTCATGTGTCCCAGCCCCCTAATCATTTTTGTTGCCCTCCGCTGGACTCTCTCCAGTTTGTCCACATCCCTTCTGTAGTAGGGGAACCAAAACTGGACGAAATACTCCAGGTGTGGCCTCACCAGTGCCAAATAGAAGGGAATAATCACCTCCCTCAATCTGCTGGCAATGCTCCTACTAATACAGACCAATATGCCGTTGGCCTTCTTGGCAACAAGGGCACATTGCTGACTCGTATCCAGCTTCTCATCCACTGTAATCCCCAGGTCCTTTTCTGCAGAACTGCTGCTTAACTAGTCAGTCCCCAGCCTGTAGCAGTGCATGGGATTCTTTCTTCCTAAGTGCAGGACTCTGTACTTGTCCTTGTTTAACCTCATCAGAGTTCTTTTGGCCCAATCCTCCAATTTGTCTAGGTCACTCTAGAGCCTATCCCTACCCTCCAGGGTACCTACCTCCCCCCCATTCTTAGTGTCATCTGCGAACTTGCTGAGGGTGCAATTCATCCCATCATCCAGATCATTAATAAAGATGTTGATCAAAACTGGCCCCAGGACCGACCCCTGGGGCACTCTGCTTGATACCGGCTGCCAACTAGACATGGAGCCGTTGATCACTACCCTTTGAGCCCGACAATCTAGCCAGCTTTCTATCCACCTTATAGTCCATTCATCCAGCCCATACTACTTTAACTTGCTGGCAAGAATACTGTGGGAGCCCGTATCAAAAGCTTTGCTAAAGTTAGTTATCTCCCTCTGCCCTCATACCCCTCATACCAAATTCAAACTTGAAAAACTAGTTTGTCCAGGGTGGTAGCCAACTCTTTGTCCAAGGGGTTTACATGTATATAAAGGACCATAAAAGTTTAATGACACTCCATTGTGTGCCCTATGTCACTACTTCTTGTAATTTCAGTCTAGCAAAGACAGGAGAGAAAGTAGATGAGCCCCCCCCACCCGCTCCAAAAAAATGCGGTTTGCAGTCTGACATACATACATATAGAAAGTTACCAATTTCAAACAGAATTCATAAGCTGTACATAGATTCCGCAAACTGTTACTCATGGTTAAATTTAGACATGAGAGTAGTCCCATTGAACTTAGATTCCTTAGACTGTGGGCTTCTTAGAACACAGAATGTGTTTCATGAATGTTTGGAAAGACCTAATGCACAGTAGGTGCTACCGTAGTTAAATAATAAATGTTGTTGTTTGTTTTTCGGAATAAAATGGTCATACATTAGTTTAAATCTGTTTCCTTTCTGAAATATAAAAAATATCACACAAAATAGTAAAATATATAAGCTTTCAAGTGTTACAGGTCTATATTTTACTCTGGTTTCTCTAGGACATGAAGGAGGGTCATTTTCTCCCAATCAGAGAGCCAGCTTTTTTTTTTTTTTTTTAAACTTTCCGTGCAAAATGTTTTGTTCTCTTGGAGAGAAGGAAAAAAAAAAAGAATTCTGGATGATGGGTTACTCTGAGTTATGTTACTCAAAGTTCAGGGATTTTCTGTCTCTTCTATCATGGAAGGTACAACTTGGCTTGAAGGCTATTTCATTGTTCAGCACTTAGATACTATAGTGATACACATAGAAATACTATAGATAGGCAAGGGAAACAAAACAGAAAATTTGCTTTTCCTGAGGATTACTATGTGTCCATTTAGATTCATTTATCTAGCAATCCTTTTATGCTAATGTTGATATTTATCATACTGTATATATCACATCATTCTGTTAATTTGTGTGTATATGGAATTGATTTTCTTGATGAGCAGCATAAATTAATACATGACAGTCATCGAAACCTTGATGTCTTGAATGATGAAAGTAGTCCTCTGCTTGACATTGTGGAAGAAGTTTTATTGCCGGATGTGCTTGAAGTGAAAGCTGCTGAATATGAATGTAATGAACTGCGGATTAACAAGCAATGGGAACATCTTTTTGTGCCAAGCAGTTCTCCAGGTATTGTGCCTTTCATATAAAACTAGGAAAACTATTAAGTGTATGATGAATGGCGTTAGTGTTGTTAGCAGTATGGCATGTGCAGTTCTCAGGGTGAATTAAGTGAAGATAAAGAATAATGTTAATTTTCAGAGCCAATATTGTATCCAGTCTGCAGATAGATCTGTATCTCTGGTCTAGTCTAGTAGCTCTAATTTTACAAAAAACTCAATTTTACAAAAAGCAAAAATTACATGACAAAAATGTGTAATTATTTCATAAATTGTCCAAGTACAGGATGGTTTGTGATTCAGGTCCTTAATTGCAACCATCTACCGTCTTATCTCCCAGCTCATATAATCTAATCATTTTAACCATCTGCCACTAGCCACATACCTTTTTATCTACATTAACCCATACCAGCTTATCTATTGCCTTAACTTAACTGCAGCTTCGGTACATATCTCACGGCTGGACAGAAATTGCCACCATAGCAGTTGACAAAATGGACTAGAAGAACATGGGGAGAATTTTAGGAAATTGTAGTGATCTGCTAAACCAAAGTCTGATTGTTCTTGCCAGAAAAAAAAGTAATTATTATTTATACAGGACCAAATGTGTGCTAGGTATTTTAAAGACAAATAAGAGTTAAAAAACCAGTCCCCAAAATGTTACAAATATACAATACTAATCTAAATTACTAAATTTACTAATATAAACTATATATATTTAATAATGAGAATTTTTTTAACATTGAGGGTTTTTTTTAGGGCTGTCAAGCCATTAAAAAAATTAATCGCGATTAATTGCACTGTTAAACAACATTTATTTAAATATTTTTGGATGTTTTCTACATTTTCAAATATATTGATTTCAATTATAACACAGAATACAAAGTGTACAGTGCTCACTTTATATTTATTTGTGATTACAAATATTTGCACTGTAAAAAACAAAATAAATATTATTTTTCAAATACTGTAGTGCAATCTCTATCATGCAAGTTGAACTTACAAATTTAGAATTATGTACAAAAAAAACTGCTTTCAAAAATAAAACAGTGTAAAACTTTGGAGCCTACAAGTCTACTCAGTCCTATTTCTTGTTCAGCCAAACAAGTTTGTTTACATTTGCAGGAGATAATGCCGCCTGCTTCTTGTTCATGTCAGTTGAAAGTGAGAACAAGTGTTCTCATGGCACTGTTGTAGCTGGTGGCGCTAGATATTTACATGCCAGATGCGCTAAAGATTCATATGTCCTTCATACTTCAACCACCATTCCAGAGGACATGCGTCCATGCTGATAACGTGTTCTGTTCGATAACAATCCAAAGCAGTGCAGACCGGTGCATGTTCATTTTCATCATCTGAGTCAGGTGCCACCAGCAGAAGGTTGATTTTCCTTTTTGGTGGTTCAGGTTCTGTAGTTTCCGCATTGGAGTGTTGCTCTTTTAAGCCCTGGTCTACACTAGGACTTTAGGTCGAATTTAGCAGCGTTAAATCGATTTAAACCTGCACCCGTCCACACAATGAAGCCCTTTATTTCGACTTAAAGGGCTCTTAAAATCGATTTCCTTACTCCACCCCTGACAAGTGGATTAGCGCTTAAATCGACGTTGCCGGCTCGAATTTGGGGTACTGTGGACACAATTCGATGGTATTGGCCTCCGGGAGCTATCCCAGAGTGCTCCATTATGACCGCTCTGGACAGCACTCTCAACTCAGATGCACTGGCCAGGTAGACAGGAAAAGAACCGCGAACTTTTGAATCTCATTTCCTGTTTGGCCAGCGTGGCAAGCTGCAGGTGACCATGCAGAGCTCATCAGCACAGGTGACCATGATGGAGTCCCAGAATCGCAAAAGAGCTCCAGCATGGACCGAACGGGAGGTACGGGATCTGATCGCTGTTTGGGGAGAGGAATCCGTGCTATCAGAACTCCGTTCCAGTTTTCGAAATGCCAAAACCTTTGTGAAAATCTCCCAGGGCATGAAGGACAGAGGCCATAACAGGGACCCGAAGCAGTGCCGCGTGAAACTGAAGGAGCTGAGGCAAGCCTACCAGAAAACCAGAGAGGCGAACAGCCGCTCTGGGTCAGAGCCCCAAACATGCCGCTTCTATGATGAGCTGCATGCCATTTTAGGGGGTTCAGCCACCACTACCCCAGCCGTGTTGTTTGACTCCTTCAATGGAGATGGAGGCAATACGGAAGCAGGTTTTGGGGACGAAGAAGATGATGATGAGGAGGTTGTAGATAGCTCACAGCAAGCAAGCGGAGAAACCGGTTTTCCCGACAGCCAGGAACTGTTTCTCACCGTAGACCTGGAGCCAGTACCCCCCGAACCCACCCAAGGCTGCCTCCTGGACTCAGCAGGCGGAGAAGGGACCTCTGGTGAGTGTACCTTTTAAAATGCTATACATGGTTTAAAAGCAAGCATGTGAAAGGATTACTTTGCCCTGGCATTTGCGGTTCTGCCTTTGCAAAAGGTTTCTGGGGAGGGCAGCCTTATTTCGTCCTTCATGGTAGGACACTTTACCACTCCAGGCCAGTAACACGTACTCGGGAATCACTGTAGAACAAAGCATTGCAGTGTATGTTTTCTGGCATTCAACCAAAATCCGTTCACGCGGTGGGAGGAGGCAAAATGCGACCTTGTAACGAAAGCACATGTGCTATGTATGTAATGTTAACAGCAAGGTTTACCCTGAAAGAGTGTAGCGACTGTTTTATAAAATGTGTCTTTTTAAATACCGCTGTCCCTTTTTTTTTCTCCACCAGCTGCATGTGTTTCAATGATCACAGGATCTTCTCCTTCCCAGAGGCTAGTGAAGCTTAGAAAGAAAAAAAAAACGCACTCGCGATGAAATGTTCTCCGAGCTCATGCTGTCCTCCCACACTGACAGAGCACAGACGAATGCGTGGAGGCAAATAATGTCAGAGTGCAGGAAAGCACAAAATGACCGGGAGGAGTGGTGGAGGGCTGAAGAGAGTAAGTGGCGGGCTGAAGACAGGGCTGAAGCTCAAAGGTGGCAGCAGCGTGATGAGAGGAGGCAGGATTCAATGCTGAGGCTGCTGCAGGACAAAACCAGTATGCTCCAGTGTATGGTTGAGCTGCAGCAAAGGCAGCTGGAGCACAGACTGCCACTGCAGCCCCTCTGTAACCAACCGCCCTCCTCCCCAAGTTCCATAGCCTCCATACCCAGACGCCCAAGAACGCGGTGGGGGGGCCTCCGGCCAACCAGCCACTCCACCACAGAGGATTGCCCAAAAAAAAGAAGGCTGTCATTCAATAAATTTTAAAGTTGTAAACTTTTAAAGTGCTGTGCTTAAAGTGCTGTGTGGCATTTTCCTTCCCTCCTCCACCACCCCTCCTGGGATACCTTGGTAGTCATCCCCCTATTTGTGTGATGAATGAATAACGAATGCATGACTGTGAAGCAGCAATGACTTTATTGCCTCTGCAAGCGGTGATCGAAGGAAGGAGGGAGGGTGGTTAGCTTACAGGGAAGTAGAGTGAACCAAGGGGCGGGGGGGTTCATCAAGGAGAAACAAACAGAACTTTCACACCGTAGCCTGGCCAGTCATGAAACTGGTTTTCAAAGCTTCTCTGATGCGTACCGCGCCCTCCTGTGCTCTTCTAACCGCCCTGGTGTCTGGCTGCGCGTAACCAGCAGCCAGGCGATTTGCCTCAACCTCCCACCCCGCCATAAACGTCTCCCCCTTACTCTCACAGATATTGTGGAGCACACAGCAAGCAGTAATAACAGTGGGAATATTGGTTTCGCTGAGGTCTAAGCGAGTCAGTAAACTGCGCCAGCGCGCCTTCAAACGTCCAAATGCACATTCCACCACCATTCTGCACTTGCTCAGCCTGTAGTTGAACAGCTCCTGACCACTGTCCAGGCTGCCTGTGTATGGCTTCATGAGCCATGGCATTAAGGGGTAGGCTGGGTCCCCAAGGATACATATAGGCATTTCAACATCCCCAACAGTTATTTTCTGGTCTGGGAATAAAGTCCCTTCCTGCAGCTTTTGAAACAGACCAGAGTTCCTGAAGATGCGAGCATCATGCACCTTTCCCGGCCATCCCACGTTGATGTTGGTGAAACGTCCCTTGTGATCCACCAGAGCTTGCAGCACTATCGAAAAGTACCCCTTGCGGTTTATGTACTCGGCGGCTTGGTGCTCCGGTGCCAAGATAGGGATATGGGTTCCGTCTATAGCCCCACCACAGTTAGGGAATCCCATTGCAGCAAAGCCATCCACTATGACCTGAACATTTCCCAGGATCACTACCCTTGATATCAGCAGATCTTTGATTGCATGGGCTACTTGCATCACAGCAGCCCCCACAGTAGATTTGCCCACTCCAAATTGATTCCCAACTGACCGGTAGCTGTCTGGCGTTGCAAGCTTCCACAGGGCTATCGCCACTCGCTTCTCAACTGTGAGGGCTGCTCTCATCTTGGTATTCATGCGCTTCAGGGCAGGGGAAAGCAAGTCACAAAGTTCCATGAAAGTGCCCCTACGCATGCGAAAGTTTCGCAGCCACTGGGAATCGTCCCAGACCTGCAACACTATGCGGTCCCTCCAGTCTGTGCTTGTTTCCTGAGCCCAGAATCGGCGTTCCACAGCATGAACCTGCCCCATTAGCACCATGATGCATGCATTGGCAGGGCCCATGCTTTCAGAGAAATCTGTGTCCATGTCCTGATCACTCACGTGACCGCGCTGACGTCGCCTCCTCGCCCGGTATCGCGTTGCCATGTTCTGGTGCTGCATATACTGCTGAATAATGCGTGTGGTGGTTAATGTGCTCCTAATTGCCAAAGTGAGCTGAGCGGGCTCCATGCTTGCCGTGGTATGGCGTCCGCACAGAAAAAAGGCGCGGAACGATTGTCTGCCGTTGCTCTGACGGAGGGAGGGGCGACTGACGACACGGCTTACAGGGTTGGCTTCAGGGAGCTAAAATCAACAAAGGGGGTGCCTGTACATCAAGGAGTATTTGAGGCAGGACTGCACGGAGGGTTCCAATAAGAAATGGTGCACCTAAGTTATCGTTGTTATTGGAACAAGGAGGTTAGCCTGGCCTCTGATTGATACATGGCTAGATTTACCTCTCTGCACCTTCTCTGTGAGTGACTGCAGTGTGACCTAGAGGAATGAGTCCCCTAGACAGGGGAGGAGGCAAATGAGTACAAAACAAATCTGGTCTATTTCTTGTTTTGACCCACTCCATCTATCTTTTACATCTTTGGCTGGCAGCAGACGGTGCAGAAGGACTGCATGCCATCCACATCTCATGGCTGCTCGGCAGAAGATGGTACAGTACGACTGCTAGCCATCCCCATCTCTTGCCTGCCTGGCAGAAGATGGTGCAATACGACTGCTAGCAATCCTCATCTCTTGCCTGCCTGGCAGAAGACGGTACAGTACGACTGCTAGCAGTCCGTATCGCCTGCCCGCTCACCATAAGACGGTTCAATAGGACTGACTGCAGGACTAAAGAGAATGACCTGGTCAAGTCACTCTAAATTTAGTCCCTGCGACCATGTCTGCCCAGGCGCTCCCAGCCGACGCGGCCAGGAGCACCTCGGACATGATGATGACGACTACCAGTCGTATTGCACCGTCTGCTGCCAGAAGGCAATGGGTTGCTGCTACTGTGCAGCAAAGCCGTACCGCGTCTGCCAGCACCCAGGAGACATAGGGTGACGGTTACCTGAGCGGGCTCCATGCTTGCCGTGGTATGGCGTCTGCACAGGTAACTCAGGAAAAAAGGCGCGAAATGATTGTCTGCCCTTGCTTTCACGGGGGGAGGGAGGGAACGGGGGGCTGACGATATGTACCCAGAACCACCCGCGACAATGTTTTAGCCCCATCAGGCATTGGGATCTCAACCCAGAATTCCAATGGGCAGCGGAGACTGCGGGAACTGTGGGATAGCTACCCACAGTGCAACGCTCTGGAAGTCGACGCTTGTCTCGGTACTGTGGAAGCGCTCCGCCGAGTTAATGCACTTAATGCACTTAGAGCATTTTCTGTGGGGACACACACACTCGAATTTATAAAACCGATTTCTAAAAAACCGACTTCTATAAATTTGACCTTATTCCGTAGTGTAGACATACCCAAAGACTTCTAAAAGCATGGCACCTCATCCCTCTCCGATTTTGGAAGGCACTTCAGATTCTTAAACCTTGGGTTGAGTGCTATAGCTATCTTTAGAAATCTCACATTGGTACCTTCTTTGCGTTTTGTCAAATCTGCAGTGAAAGTGTTCTTAAAATGAACAACACGTGCTGAGTCATCGTCCGAGACTATTATAACATGAAATATGTGTCAGAATGGGGATAAAATAGAGCCGGAGACATACAATTCTCCCCCAAGGATTTCGGTCACAAATGTAATTAACACATTTTTTTAATGAGCATAGTCAGCATGGAAGCATGTTGTCTGGAGTGGTGGCTGAAGCATGAAGGGGCATATGAATCTTAGCACAGGGGTGGGCAAACTTTTTTGCCTCAGGGCCGCATCGGGTTTCTGAAATTGTATGTAGGACTGGTTAGGGGAAGCTGTGCCTCCTCAAACAGCGAGGCATGGCCTGGTCCCCGCCCCCTATCTGACCCCACCTGCCTCTCGCCCCATGACGCCCCCCCCCGGGACTCCTGCCCCATCCAACCACCCCTTCTCCCTGACCGCCCCTGGACCCCTTGCCCCTAACTGCCCCCTGCCCCTAACTGCCCCCAACCACCCAATTCAACCCCCCTCTCCTTCCTGATTGCCTCCCCTGGGACTCCTGCTCCCTGTCCCTTGACTGCCCCCTGCTGCCCCATCCAACCCCTCCTCTCCTTCATGACTGCCCCACTGGGACCCCTGCCCCCATTCAACCCCCGTTCCCCGCCCTCTGACTGCCTCGACCCCTGTCCACGCCCCTGAACACCCCCTGAACTCCCCTGCCCTCTATCCAACCCCCCCCCACACACACTCCCTTCCCCCTTACCGCGCTGCCTGGAGCACCAGTGGTTGGCGGCGCAGCTGCACCAGGACAGCCAGCTGCGCTGTGCCATGCAGCACAGAGCACCAGGTCAGGCCGGGCTCTGCAACCCTGCTGCCCAGAGCATTGTGCCATGCGGCGGCATGGCTGCATGGGAGTGGGGACAGCTGGCCAGGCAGGACAGTCCCGCGCGCTGTAGTTTGCCCACCTCTGGTTTAGCATATCTGGAATGTAAATACCTTGCAATGCTGGCTACAAAAGTCCTATTCAAATGCCTGTTCTCACTTTCTGGTGACATTGTAAATAAGAAGTAGGCAGCATTATCTGCTGTAAATGTAAACAAATTTGATTGTCTTAGCGCTTAGCGGAACAAGAAATAGGACTGAGTGGAGTTGTAGGCTCTAAAGTTTTGTATTGTTTTGTTTTTGAGTGCAGTTATGTAACAAAAAAAATCTACATTTGTAAGTTGCACTTTCACAATAAAGAGATTGCACTACAGTACTTATATGAGGTGAACTGAAAAATATTGTTTCTTTTGTTTATCATTTTTACAGTGCAAATATTTGTAATCAAATATAATATAAAGTGAGCAGTGTATACTTTGTATTCTGTATTGTAATTGAAATCAATATATTTGAAAATGTAGAAAAACATGCAAAAATATTTAATAAATTTCAATTGGTATTCTATTGTTTAACAATATGATTAAAACTGTGATTAATTTTTTTAATCGTGATTAATTTTTTTGAGTTAATCGTGTGAGTTAACTGTGATTAATGGACAGCCCTAGTTTTTTTTATTGTTCCCCATCCACAGAATGGGAAAACGTAGGAGGAAAATCTTCATTTGATTTTTTTAAACAAATATTTTTATTGGAAGTGTAGAGTACAATAAAGTTAAGGAGCCTAACCTTTCTCCCTATGAAGTCAATAACAAAGCTTCCATTAACTCCAGAGGGAGAAGGTTTGCTGATATGTCCAAGATTGTATAGAATCTAAGAATAATACACGGATCCAGATGATGATAAAGGTTTCTTTTAATAAAGCATCTGATCTCAATGAGGGCCTAGATAATCAATTAATCTTTACTTGTTAGAGGAGAAGAGTGGTCTTGGACATAGTGAGGAACTGTGAGGTGTATTCTGAGTCAAGAATAGGGTTATGGTCATCTTGCAGCTGATCTAACGAGGGAACTACAGTACAGAGAAAATAAGGGAATTTTAATGTAAGCGAATGAAAGCTCTAAGTGTTCCCACCTGGAACAGTTGTAACAGGTTTTTAATTGTTCTGATTCCAGTTTCCAGTCTTGTGAGCCATTGGTTGCTACATTCTTGTATTTTTATGTTGTTCCACTTAGAAGACTGGGACGTGATGTCAGGAGATAACTGGAATAAATTAGGTGTTCAAAACCAAATCCTCATATTTTAGGTCAGATTTAGGTTGGAGCGGTACCCTGATTCTGGAAAGATCATCCTGTATAGGGCCACCTCCTCCTCTAAAAGCATCCAAGCATCTACTCCTAATACTGCCACCAACTCATGATCCAAAGTCTATCAATATCAATAGAAAAACTTCCACTGACATCAGTTCAGAACCTTTGTGGCCTTGGGCTAGTCACTAAACTTGTCTGTGCCTCAGTTTCCCCATCTGTAAAATAAGGATAATAATACTCATCATTGTGTATCTTTTATATGCTCAGATGAAATGTGCTATATAAATGCAAAGTATAGTAGTAATATTAATTCATTGATGTGGCTCAGCACAGGCAACAACAGCAGTACACTTCCTCACACCACACTGCCCAATCTTTCTTAATCCTCACTTGGAGGAGTCACCCCTTAGGTTGAGAGAGTAGTTCAGTCTCTGTGCCAGCTGACTCCTTGGTAGCCTTCTTTTCCAGCAGTAAGAAAGCTGACTGGATTGGGAACAGTCTGATGTTATCAGAATTACTTATATGACTTATGTTCTTAGAAATGTTAGAAATGGTTATGGGATAGTATTATAGTAGCAACAAGAACAATACCTTTGATCACTCTTTTGCTTTATGCTTGCAGGTAAAAAAATTAGACCAGTACAAATACTCAGGTTTTTTTTAAATTGTAGTTTTACATTTTATTTGCATCAGTTTTAGTTGAAAATTTACATGCAGTAATTGTTGTTCTCAAGTGGTTCACAGCTTTAAACTACCAAAAGGCATGATGCCACGCATCTTAGAAGATGAAGGATTGTATATTCCAAGAAAACCAGAAACTTGTAGGAGAAGTTACAACAAAATGGAAAATCGTCTTCTGAAACAAGAAGGGGTAAATATATTGTTCTATTAAAAGCTAAAAATGTTGTAAGTAAAATGTAAAATAAAATCAGTAAATGGAATGTATAGAACTTTTTAACATTTCATATGTACATATACTGAACTTCTGAAATATTTCTAACAAGGGAAAAAACTGGTTTGAAGAAAGTGGGGAAATAATTTCATTACCTTCTCCAATCAAACAATCACGAAACTTCAGAAAATGTTTTCCTCTTAAGACTGGTCCAGGATTAAAGACAATATATAAGAAGGTCAGCTATTACTACTTTTTACAGCTATAGTTATTCAGGGGACTTTAACTAGACAATGCTACAAAAATCAATAGCTTGTATTTTTTTTCATGGCAAAATATTTCATTGGGCAGTATTCAAATTACCTCTAGTGGAATGTCAGTCTCAAGAATGGGCCAGGAAGGGGTGATAATCCTGTTTAGATGGAACAATTTGGTATTGCACAGACAGTTCATCACTTTATTAAAAAAATCAGAGAAGTCTGTGCACTGAGAATTCTACAGCACTGTTATCTTTTGACCCAAGCAGGTAGCCAAAATCTGGTTGTAGCAGGTTGTTTCCATTAAGAGGAGAAGTTGATGATAGAGTGAGGTATTTCTTTGATGCAATCCTATTTATTTACCAAATATGTATGTAAAAACCTGTTGCCTTGAACACAGATGGAATCAAACAGCAGGAGGCAGGAGTAGTTTCTTTGCTCACTCTTCCAAGCCCCTTTCCAGCTAGCACGTAGGCCAAAACTGCTCTCTCAGCTTTTCCTCAAGCTCACACGCTACCAGTTCTTCTGTGGCAATGTCCTCAGCTTTCAGCTGCCTTCTCTCTCAGCTTCTCTGGTGGTGTTGCTGCTGCTTCTCTCACACACACAGGCATATACAGTTCCACCAGTGAATGCCCTAGCCCTTGCATTTGCTTTATCAGTCGCCAGGGAAACCTCTTGGGCCACATGGTTACTCAAGCCTTGTTATGTATCCATATTTTGGGTGATGCTCCTATTGTTTCGGCTATCTGGTTGCATAAAGGAGCTCAATTGCTTTTTATACTTCACCTGAATGAATGGTGGTTGTTACACTAACCAATTTCAGTGAGGTTTAATGCAACCCATAACAGCATATAGTTCAGTCTGAAATTAATGTATTTTAATATCTTCAATTTTTTCTTGAATATTTATAAATCCAATTCTTTTAAAATTAATTTAATCCCAGCATACAAGACCGACCTGCTACTCTAGTTAAGGCACACATTTGGCCTCTTTGAGCCTTTGACATTCCCATTCAGCATCAGATAAAGTGTAAATACTTTGTATTAGGTCAGATTTACCCTTTTTCTTGGATTTGGCTTTTTGGTAACACAAATAATAACAGAACATGAACCTCATTTTAAGCTTTCTCCCCAAGCCTGACAGTTTAAGCCCTGGTCTACACTAGGACTTTAGGTCGAATTTAGCAGCGTTAAATCGATGTAAACCTGCACCCGTCCACACAATGAAGCCCTTTATTTCGACTTAAAGGGCTCTGAAAATCGATTTCCTTACTCCACCCCTGACAAGTGGATTAGCGCTTAAATCGACGTTGCCGGCTCGAATTTCGGGTACTGTGGACACAATTCGATGGTATTGGCCTCCGGGAGCTATCCCAGAGTGCTCCATTATGACCGCTCTGGACAGCACTCTCAACTCAGATGCACTGGCCAGGTAGACAGGAAAAGAACCGCAAACTTTTGAATCTCATTTCCTGTATGGCCAGCGTGGCAAGCTGCAGGTGACCATGCAGAGCTCATCAGCACAGGTGACCATGATGGAGTCCCAGAATCGCAAAAGAGCTCCAGCATGGACCGAACGGGAGGTATGGGATCTGATCGCTGTTTGGGGAGAGGAATCCGTGCTATCAGAACTCCGTTCCAGTTTTCGAAATGCCAAAACCTTTGTGAAAATCTCCCAGGGCATGAAGGACAGAGGCCATAACAGGGACCCGAAGCAGTGCCGCGTGAAACTGAAGGAGCTGAGGCAAGCCTACCAGAAAACCAGAGAGGCGAACAGCCGCTCTGGGTCAGAGCCCCAAACATGCCGCTTCTATGATGAGCTGCATGCCATTTTAGGGGGTTCAGCCACCACTACCCCAGCCGTGTTGTTTGACTCCTTCAATGGAGATGGAGGCAATACGGAAGCAGGTTTTGGGGACGAAGAAGATGATGATGAGGAGGTTGTAGATAGCTCACAGCAAGCAAGCGGAGAAACCGGTTTTCCCGACAGCCAGGAACTGTTTCTCACCGTAGACCTGGAGCCAGTACCCCCCGAACCCACCCAAGGCTGCCTCCTGGACTCAGCAGGCGGAGAAGGGACCTCTGGTGAGTGTACCTTTTAAAATGCTATACATGGTTTAAAAGCAAGCATGTGAAAGGATTACTTTGCCCTGGCATTTGCGGTTCTCCTAGATGTAGTCCTAAAGCCTTTGCAAAAGGTTTCTGGGGAGGGCAGCCTTATTGCGTCCTTCATGGTAGGACACTTTACCACTCCAGGCCAGTAACACGTACTCGGGAATCATTGTAGAACAAAGCATTGCAGTGTATGTTTGCTGGCATTCAAACAACATCCGTTCTTTATCTCTCTGTGTTATCCTCAGGAGAGTGAGATATAATTCATGGTCACCTGGTTGAAATAGAGTTGTTTTCTTCAGGGGAAACTCAGAGGAGCCCATTCCTGCTGGGCTGTTTGCCTGTGGCTGAACAGAAATGTTCCCCGCTGTTAGCCACAGGGAGGGGGGAAGGTTGAGGGGGTAGTCACGCGGTGGGAGGAGGCAAAATGCGACCTTGTAACGAAAGCACACGTGCTATGTATGTAATGTTAACAGCAAGGTTTACCCTGAAAGAGTGTAGCCACTGTTTTATAAAATGTGTCTTTTTAAATACCGCTGTCCCTTTTTTTATCTCCACCAGCTGCATGTGTTTCAATGATCACAGGGTCTTCTCCTTCCCAGAGGCTAGTGAAGCTTAGAAAGAAAAAAAAAACGCACTCGCGATGAAATGTTCTCCGAGCTCATGCTGTCCTCCCACACTGACAGAGCACAGACGAATGCGTGGAGGCAAATAATGTCAGAGTGCAGGAAAGCACAAAATGACCGGGAGGAGAGGTGGCGGGCTGAAGAGAGTAAGTGGCGGGCTGAAGAGAGTAAGTGGCAGGCTGAAGAGAGTAAGTGGCGGGCTGAAGACAGGGCTGAAGCTCAAATGTGGCAGCAGCGTGATGAGAGGAGGCAGGATTCAATGCTGAGGCTGCTGCAGGACAAAACCAGTATGCTCCAGTGTATGGTTGAGCTGCAGCAAAGGCAGCTGGAGCACAGACTGCCACTGCAGCCCCTCTGTAACCAACCGCCCTCCTCCCCGGGTTCCATAGCCTCCACACCCAGACGCCCAAGAACGCGGTGGGGGGGCCTCCGGCCAACCAGCCACTCCACCACAGAGGATTGCCCCAAAAAAAGAAGGCTGTCATTCAATAAATTTTAAAGATGTAAACTTTTAAAGTGCTGTGTGGCATTTTCCTTCCCTCCTCCACCACCCCTCCTGGGATACCTTGGTAGTCATCCCCCTATTTGTGTGATGAATGAATAAAGAATGCATGAATGTGAAGCAACAATGACTTTATTGCCTCTGCAAGCGGTGATTGAAGGGAGGAGGGGCGGGTGGTTAGCTTACAGGGAAGTAGAGTGAACCAAGGGGCGGGGGGTTTCATCAAGGAGAAACAAAGAGAACTTTCACACCGTAGCCTGGCCAGCCATGAAACTGGTTTTCAAAGCTTCTCTGATGCGTACCGCGCCCTCCTGTGCTCTTCTAACCGCCCTGGTGTCTGGCTGAGCGTAACCAGCAGCCAGGCGATTTGCCTCAACCTCCCACCCCACCATAAACGTCTCCCCCTTACTCTCACAGATATTGTGGAGCACACAGCAAGCAGTAATAACAGTGGGAATATTGGTTTCGCTGAGGTCTAAGCGAGTCAGTAAACTGCGCCAGCGCGCCTTTAAACATCCAAATGCACATTCCACCACCATTCTGCACTTGCTCAGCCTGTAGTTGAACAGCTCCTGACTACTGTCCAGCCTGTGTACGGCTTCATGAGCCATGGCATTAACGGGTAGGCTGGGTCCCCAAGGATACATATAGGCATTTCAACATCCCCAACAGTTATTTTCTGGTCTGGGAATAAAGTCCCTTCCTGCAGCTTTTGAAACAGACCAGAGTTCCTGAAGATGCGAGCATCATGCACCTTTCCCGGCCATCCCACGTTGATGTTGGTGAAACGTCCCTTGTGATCCACCAGAGCTTGCAGCACTATCGAAAAGTACCCCTTGCGGTTTATGTACTCGGCGGCTTGGTGCTCCGGTGCCATGATAGGGATATGGGTTCCGTCTATAGCCCCACCACAGTTAGGGAATCCCATTGCAGCAAAGCCATCCACTATGACCTGCACGTTTCCCAGGATCACTACCCTTGATATCAGCAGATCTTTGATTGCGTAGCCTACTTGCATCACAGCAGCCCCCACAGTAGATTTGCCCACTCCAAATTGATTCCCAACTGACCGGTAGCTGTCTGGCGTTGCAAGCTTCCACAGGGCTATCGCCACTCGCTTCTCAACTGTGAGGGCTGCTCTCATCTTGGTATTCATGTGCCTCAGGGCAGGGGAAAGCAAGTCACAAAGTTCCATGAAAGTGCCCTTACGTATGCGAAAGTTTCGCAGCCACTGGGAATCGTCCCAGACCTGCAACACTATGCGATCCCACCAGTCTGTGCTTGTTTCCCGAGCCCAGAATCGGCGTTCCACAGCATGAACCTGCCCCATTAGCACCATGATGCATGCATTGGCAGGGCCCATGCTTTCAGAGAAATCTGTGTCCATGTCCTGATCACTCACGTGACCGCGCTGACGTCGCCTCCTCGCCCGGTATCGCTTTGCCAGGTTCTGGTGCTGCATATACTGCTGGATAATGCGTATGGTGTTTAATGTGCTCCTAATTGCCAAAGTGAGCTGAGCGGCCTCCATGCTTGCCTTGGTATGGCGTCCGCACAGAAAAAGGCGTGGAACGATTGTCTGCCGTTGCTCTGACGGAGGGAGGGGCGACTGACGACACAGCTTACAGGGTTGGCTTCAGGGAGCTAAAATCAACAAAGGGGGTGCCTGTACATCAAGGAGTATTTGAGGCAGGACTTCACGGAGGGTTCCAATAAGAAATGGTGCACCTAAGTTATCATTCTTATTGGAACAAGGAGGTTAGCCTGGCCTCTGATTGATACATGGCTAGATTTACCTCGCTGCACCGTCTCTGTGAGTGACTGCAGTGTGACCTAGAGGAATGAGTCCCCTAGACAGGAGAGGAGGCAAATGAGTACAAAACAAATCTGGTCTATTTCTTGTTTTGACCCACTCCATCTATCTTTTACATCTTTGGCTGGCAGCAGACGGTGCAGAAGGACTGCATGCCATCTCATGGCTGCTCGGCAGAAGATGGTACAGTACGACTACTAGTAATCCTCATCTCTTGCCTGCCTGGCAGAAGATGGTACAGTACGACTGCTAGCAGTCCGTATCGCTTGCCCGCTCACCATAAGACGGTTCAATAGGACTGACTGCAGGACTAAAGAGAATGACCTGGTCAAGTCACTCCAAATTTAGTCCCTGCGACCATGTCTGCCCAGGCGCTCCCAGCCGACGTGGCCAGGAGCACCTCGGACACGACGAGGACGACTACCAGTCGTATTGCACCGTCTGCTGCCAGAAGGCAATGGGTTGCTGCTACTGTGCAGCAAAGCCGTACCGCGTCTGCCAGCACCCAGGAGACATAGGGTGATGGTTACCTGAGCGGGCTCCATGCTTGCCGTGGTATGGCGTCTGCACAGGTAACTCAGGAAAAAAGGCGCGAAATGATTGTCTGCCCTTGCTTTCACGGAGGGAGGGAGGGAATGGGGGCCTGACGATACGTACCGAGAACCACCCGCGACAATGTTTTAGCCCCATCAGAGTGCTCCATTGTGACTGCTCTGGACAGCACTCTCAGATGCCCGATTGTTTGCCGTTGCTCTGACGCCGGGAGAGGCGACTGAGGACACGGCTTACAGGGTTGGCTTCAGGGAGCTAAAATCAACAAAGGGGGTGGCTTTACATCAAGGAGTATTTCAGGCAGGACTTCACGGAGGGTTCCAATAAGAAATGGTGCACCTAAGTTATTGTCCTTATTGGAACAAGAAGGTTAGCCTGGCCTCTTATTGATACATGGCTAGATTTACCTTGCTGCACCTTCTCTGTGAGTGACTGCAGTGTGACCTAGAAGAATGAGTCCCCTAGACAGGGGAGGGGGGGAAGCAAATGAGTACAAAACAAATCTGGTCTATTTCTTGTTTTGATCCACTCCATCTATTTTTTACATCTTTGGCTGGCAGCAGACGGTGCAGAAGGCCTGCATGCCATCCACATCTCATGGCTGCTCGGCAGAAGATGGTACAGTACGACTGCTAGCAGTCCGTATCGCCTGCCCGCTCACCATAAGACGGTTCAATAGGACTGACTGCAGGACTAAAGAGAATGACCTGGTCAAGTCACTCCAAATTTAGTCCCTGCGCCCATGTCTGCCCAGGCGCTCCCAGCCGACGTGGCCAGGAGCACCTCGGACATGATGATGACGGCTACCAGTCGTACTGTACCGTCTGCTGCCACAAGGCAAGGGGTTGCTGCTACTGTGTAGCAATGCCGTACCGTGTCTGCCAGCACCCAGGAGACATAGGGTGATGGTTACCTGAGCGGGCTCCATGCTTGCCATGGTATGGCGTCTGCACAGGTAACTCAGGAAAAAAGGCACGAAATGATTGTCTGCCCTTGCTTTCACGGAGGGAGGGAGGGAACGGGGGCCTGACGATATGTACCCAGAACCACCCCCGACAATGTTTTAGCCCCATCAGGCATTGGGATCTCAACCCAGAATTCCAATGGGCAGCGAAGACTGCGGGAACTGTGGGATAGCTACCCACAGTGCAACGCTCCGGAAGTCGACCCTAGCCTCGGTACTGTGGAAGCGCTCCGCCGAGTTAATGCACTTAATGCACTTAGAGCATTTTCTGTGGGGACACACACACTCGAATATATAAAACCGATTTCTAAAAAAACGACTTCTATAAATTTGACCTTATTCCGTAGTGTAGACATACCCTAAGACAGCCCTATCTCTGTTGCTCATTCTTTCTGACCACATGGTCATGCCCATGCCTATCTTGCCACAGTGAGTCAGCAGAATTTACCTAGCTGCTTTAAGCATGGTTCTGATACTTGCTAACAGAAAAGTTCTGTCTTCCTCTTTGGGACTGTAGATCTTGCTCTCTGTTATACTCTGATTAGTGGGTGGAGCGGGTTATTAGGTAGAGCAGTCATTCAGGGAAATCTTTGAATATCTTGAGTGGGGGATTTGGAGTGAGCTCTATCAACAGCCCAAAAAGGATGGCATAGAAGTTGGTGCTGGGCATGGCCCAGGTTGTGGGCTACTGACTACAATTATGCAGATCCAGTGGTCCTAATATACCACTCAGTTACTACAAGGAGAGGGGCAGGAGTTATTCCAACTCATAAACTACACTGGTAGCTGTAGAGTTGCTGCAGTGTAGCCTGACCTGCTGGTACAAAAGAGATTTAAAGTTTGCACCATAACCTCTGTGTACTTCACTTGCATAAAGCCCAATTAGTTGGGCTTTTTGTAGATGAAGTGAATAGCACTATGGAACTTCCTGCTTCTTGGGCTGAGGCACTGCCAATAAATATATTCCGGGCTAGTAAGTCATCCGGCTCAGATAGCACAGTTGGCAGATTATAGGGCGCTTAATTTTAGGGTAATTGGTTTTTACATATTATCATGGATACAGAGCATAGAACTAAGTTTTATTCCTGGCTCTGTCACTGACTTACTATGTGATCTTGAATAAGTCACTTAACTGACCTCTGGTTCCACCTTTTTTAAAAAAAAATGGGATCAGTGAATTGCTTACCCACTTTTATAATGTGCTTTGGTACTTGAGTGATATTCTCATCTTGGTGCAAATTCTATTATTACATCACTACATGATTGTCTCCTTTCACATTTATTGTCTGTATAAGAGGGAATCTGTTATTTGTCTGAGGCTGGCTTTAGTCAGAAAGTACTGCAGTTTAAGGTTACTACAGTTTTGTTGAGTACCACAGACTGAAATCACTCTGTATTTTGAGACTAGAGTTTTGGATTTGGAAAGAAGAAAACTCTTACAGATACATGTTTCAGAGTAACAGCCGTGTTAGTCTGTATTCGCAAAAACAAAAGGAGTACTTGTGGCACCTTAGAGACTAATCAATTTATTTGAGCGTAAGCTTTCATGAGCTACAGCTCACTTCATCGGATGCATACTGTGGAAAATACAGAAGATCTTTTTCTACACACAGACCATTTATATTTTATACAAACGTTTTATACAAACACCCATTTTTTCATGGTCTGTGTGTAGAAAAAGATCTTCTGTATTTTCCACAGTATGCATCCGATGAAGTGAGCTGTAGCTCATGAAAGCTTATGCTCAAATAAATTGATTAGTCTCTAAGGTGCCACAAGTACTCCTTTTCTTCTTACAGATACAGTTACTGGTAGGTAATACTGCCTTTCAAAGTAGTATTTATAAAGATATATGAAATAAAGAAATTATTATTATTTATTTTATGTTTAAAACAGGCAATGCTACCTGAATTGGAAAGCTGCATCATAACTAAATCAGGGGGTCAAAGAGAACTTTATCAACTAGATCTCAATATATCAAGTTTATTGTTCAGCCACCATCCTCTTTTCAGCCAAGAACATGTGTTGACTGCTAGGTTGCTCCAACTTTATGAATGCTTTCAGAACAGACAACAGCATAATATAGCTCTCTTGCTATCTGAAAAGGTAAGAAAATGCTTCATTTTTTTTAATGTGGACAGTTTCAAAATTAAAAGATGCACAGTTCGGGAGGGGAGGGAAGTGTGTATGTATATGTATGTATGAATTGTAGGTGGAGCTGTCAGCAAAGGCTATAGTTAAGTTTGTCTAAACTTTTCCATATAAGACCCTGTTTTCAGTTCCTTATAACTTTGCCAAATTTAAACTCTTTGAGCTCAAATTTTCTCTGCTAGGTGTCTGCCTCAGGCCAACTGGGGATAAGGGTAGAATTTTTTTGTGGGGATAGGGGTAGAATTTCAGAAAAATGGATCAACCATTTCTGAGAACAAATCTAGTGAAAAATATTTTTTCTAATGTTAAAATGTCCTCATAACTGTTTCAGTGAGAAACTAGCATGTCCAAACTTTGGAGCAGTGTAGAGGTCACCCTGGATTCAGAAAGGTGCCTTTTGCTGTCCCTGTAAAAATCCACGTAAATTTAGCCAAGTGTATAAGTCTCTGTAGATCACTGTGTGTATATGCTCAGTAGAGTCTCGTTGGAGGCTTGCACTTAAATTCTCAGAAGATTCTATCTGCACGGAATGTACTCCAGCCCAGGGATACAGGGGCTGACCAGGATTCTACCTGCTATTGCTTTTCCCAGTCACTGGGGACCACTGTGATGTAGAGCTTGAGAGCTGGAAGATTGTCTCTTCTGTGCTCTCAGTTCTCCCCTTGCTGATGTATGGGGACTGTTGCCCCATTACTAACATTCAGTGGGGGTGTTTTAGTTGCTAGCTCCCAGTACTAAAAGGGGGAAAGGTCAATGGGGAATCAGGACCCTGAGACTGACAGGTCCAGGAACAATGGGGAGAGGCCAGTGCTCCAGGTCAGCCTGAATGACAGGGTGGGCAGGCTAATCAGGGAGTCAGGAGGCCAGGGAGGTCCTGTCCTCTGTGTGAGCTGGAATTGTCTGGGTCAGACAGAGTGGGGCCGAGCAAAGGAGAAATCAGGGGCCCAAGCTGAGCTGGGGAGTAGAGCTGTGCCAGATCCAGAGGGACCAGAAAAGCAGCCCAGAGAGAGCAGACCCTGTCCTGGGAGCAGAGCTGCAGCCCCAAAGCCAGAGGCACAGACAAGGGAGAGCAGACTTGCCCTGGGAGGAGAGCTGCAGCAATCAGAGCCAGAGGGGCCAGAAAAGCAGCCCATGAAGCAGGTCAGTGCTGGGAGCAGAGTCACAGAAGCAGCCTGCAGAGCACACCTGTCCTGGGAGGAGAGCTGTAGCAACCAGAGCCAGAGAGGCCAGAGAAGCAGCCCAGGGAGCTGGAGGCAGAGTAGCAGCCTTGCTGAGGCAGAGTGGAGCTGGGGCTGGAGCAATCCGGAGCCAGATGTCGTGAGCAGCTGGGGAGAGCAAGGGGGGACCCTGGGCAGCGGGTCCAGCACGGATAGGCCTCAGCCAGGAGGCTCTGCAGGCCAGACTCGTGGGGGGGATTGGTAACCCTGAAAGGGTGGGGGAATGCTGGGAAGAAGGGTCCTGCCACCTAGAGACGGAGAGCGTGTGGCCACCACCAGAGCGAGTGTCCAGCCCACAGCATCCCTGCAGCACAGCCAGAGCCTTAGAAGGAGGCCTGGGACTTACAAGGAACAGACTGTGAACTGCCCTGACATTCCAGAGACACTGTTTGTGATGTTCCCTGTCACAGAGCAGGGTGATGTGTTTCCTTTAACCTTTCCCATTTTTCCTTATTCTTTTTAAAATTAATTGTTGATTAAATAACTTGCATTTGCTTTAAATTGTACCTAATGATCAGTGGGTCAGAGAAGTGCCCACTGCAGAGAGAGTACCTTGGAGTGGGGACACCCTAGCCCCCGTCCTAGGTGACCACAGCAGGGTTGGGGTCGAGCCTCCCAGGAATCCTGGGCCCAGCCTTGTTGGGGTTACAAGGACTTTGTCAGACAGGAGAGTGGAAGGGGAGTCCTCAAGGGCAGGGAGGCCTCTCGGTAAAGGAAGTGGGAGCGAGGACTCAAATCCTTTCGCTAGCCCACTTCACTGGGGTAGTGCAGAAGCCAGGAAAGTTTCCCACAAAAGCGGGACTATTCCCCCGCTTACACTGGCACCCCGGAAGTACAAAAGAGAAGGGAAGAATCAGAAGGGTGAGGTGCGATGTGGTGACAGGGCAGGATAAGGGGTAAAGACTGGGAGGGATAAGAGAAGAGAGGGGAGAGGTACAGTCTAGGGGAGACGCATAATTGGCTGGCAACAATTATTTTTGCGTTCATGGGAATAATTGAGACACTCCGCAACATGGCTATACCTGTAGTTAGCAGCTCATTTTGCCAACTGGTGTTTCTAAATCTTTGCACTATAAAACATTTTTTCAAGCTAATTCAGATGTATTGGGTCATTGGCTTATGTGACACTGAACATTTCATAATTAAATAAGAAAAGATAATATAGATCTTTACCCTAAAAGCTCATTTAAGAAAAATAGAGGTATATTCTCTGTTTGACTATTAATGCTGTTAATATTTAATTACTATTAATAGAAGCTTTGTATGCAAATGTTCACTGATCAAAATGATGAAAAAATACCTCTTAATTTGGTTGCAAAGGTTCAGTCTCCCAATATACTAGAAAGTCAAGTCTCTCTAAGTAAATATCCTGTGATTCAGATGCATATTTGATGTTGTTTACCCAGAACCAGATTGTGAGCCCCTTAATATTGACTTCCATAGAACTATTCTACTCACCATTGTGGCTAAGGGACTCACAATCTGGCCCTTTACCTTTACTAACAAAAGTACCAGGCTATAACCATACTACACTTATGTGGAAAACCTTCAAAGTGCTAGAAATTCAAATTTCCACTCATGTAGTTGCTTCTTAATCATACCAGGGTAAGAATGGTGTTTACTACTCCCAAGCCTTTTGATCTCCCTGTTAATATTTTTTTAAAAAACAAAGTTGCCAAAATACACATCTTTGAGAGAGACTTGAAAATGACATTTTGGATTCGCCGATAAATAATCTACATTTTATAGTTTTTCGTAGCACTGAAAATTGAATACAAAAACTGATCAAAAGGGTCTGAATTAACAGTACAAAAATCAGAAAAAGTAAAGGTAAAGCTGCCATTTCATCTTTAATGGATTTCTTTGTACCTTTTAGGTATGATTATGTTTGGTATTTCATCAGCATAATACACTAATTTTTGTATTAGTTTTGCCGAATGCAGTAGGAACTTAACGCTAATCAGCTGAAAAGTTTTTAACTTTTTCAAAACAGTGTATGGGATTTTTATTACAGCTTAAAGCATTAATAAATGCTACCAAAATAGTAGAAAGTGGTTTGGAAGCAAGCCAACTGAGCAGGAAAACTTTAGAGGACTACCAATGGCAAATAAGGTAATGTAATTATTGAAAAGAACCAAGCATATTACAACTACACTGTGCAACTGTCAGTTCTGAGTTTTCTTTTGACAACTTACATGTCTATTCAATCTACTCCTGAGAATTCCTTAGTAAACATCCATTTTAATAAGCATAACTATTGTAATACTGCACTATTTTCTAAACACACAACTACTACCTTTTTTATAAGAACTGTACATAAGCTTCTGGATTTGTTTTTAAATATTGATGGTAAAAGGCTGCTGAAATAGATTTTGGAGTTACTTATATTTGGTTTAATTTTAAATTAAAAAAAAAATTTTCATACAGTTCCTGACCTTAACTTGACACGTCCACATTTCCAATATTTTCCATTTTTCCCATTCCCAGCATTTGTCATGACTAATTTAACTTCTTTTCCCACAGAGAGACAGAAGAAAAAATACATTACGTGACTTTTCTGCAGTAGCTGATGCACAGTAGCGGTTATAATGGTGAAAGTCTCATAGGATAGTACATTTAAAATTTTTATTATTAGATGATAACAGCATGCTCAGCACTGTACAAAACCTAGAAAAATACACAGACCTTACTCCAAGAAGCTTATATTTTAGACAAACAGTACATTTCAAACACATGCCATAAAGCACCAGATGGCTTGTCTTTGGAACGATGCTGTGCTGTAGAACAGCCTCTTTCAAGTAACTGGAAAGTGTTCGTTTACTGGAAGCAAGAAAGTTGTCTGATATGCAAATTATAATATAAAGTTTTTGTTGTTAAGGCGAATGTGGAAATTGGATATAACAGAGTTGTTTGATGTATTTAACAATATATTTAGCTATATCATGCATCAGAAATTCAATTTACATATTAGGTATTCTTTTTCCTTATGCAAGTAATCCTATTGAAGTCTGTGGAACTACTTGCATGGGTAAGGGCAACAGGGGTCACTGTTCAAGGCTTAGCTAGCTATAGCTGTGATGCTTCTCTGGGTTCTCTGAGTGTACCCACACAGGTGCCAGGCTTGGTGCCTTCACTTCTCTTGGTGGAATTCTACAATTCTCCTACTCTTAACACAGGCCCAGGGCTGTATACCAACTTGGGTATGTCTACACTGCAATTAGACACCCACGGCTGGCCTGTGCCAGCTGATTCAGGTTCATAGGTGTTTGGGCTCAGGCTGCAGCCTGAGCTCTGGGACCCTCCCACCTTATGGGGTCCTAGAGCATGTGTTCCAGTCTAAGTAACAAGACTCCAGAAGAGTCTTTATTATTTGCATCTAATAATACAGGAATTTAGTTTCTTTTTAGATATTTTTTCTACAGTTTGTGTAGTGAAAAGAGGCTTACATGCCCACCAAATCATGAGAGGCAAAAGGAGCTATGGGCTCAACCTGCAAAGTACTTGGATCCATATCAGAACCTCCCCAGAATTTATGGGCCATTTGGTTCTACAGTTTTGGTTTGAGGCCACCACTAAACAAAAATAGTTGATATTTATACAGAGGCTATTAGGCAGAAAGTAATACCACAACAAAGCAATCTTATTCTTTTAATCTCCTATGTAACACGCAAGATACTAAGCAGGCAAGTCTGACAGTTTAACAAATTTCTGCCTGAATATCTACAAACCAGAATCTCAGGGTACCTTTGTTCAGTCCTCACCTCAGTAATTATGGGTCACTGACAGAATTTTAAGGAACAAATGTAGAGAATAGGATGTGGTGTCTCATTTTATTCTCATATTAATTAGTCACCATGCCAGACTCTTCTTTCAGATTTGTACAGTAAATCTTTTTGTATTGTAGAAAACTTGCATACTGTTCTTGCATATTTTTCTTCCCTTTCCCACTTAATGCATTCAAAGGACCAAATTCACATTGCTGTGTGCTGTATCTGAAAAAAATCTGCTAGTGTACATGCAAAGAATCGATGGAAAATGAATATGCAGATTTTAATAAACTATTTTAAATATAGGTTTCAGAGTAACAGCCGTGTTAGTCTGTATTCGCAAAAAGAAAAGGAGTACTTGTGGCACCTTAGAGACTAAGTCTCTAAGGTGCCACAAATACTCCTTTTATTTTAAATATAAGTGTTCTATTTAAAACTTGATTATAGACCCAGATAAAATCATTACTGTCTGATTTTGTTATCAGAGAATTAGATTATCTTTTTGTTGTATGCTTTTATTGCAGAGATACCAAGAAATTGTATGACCTAGAACACCAAAAAGATATTTCTTTAATACATAGTATGTTAAAAGTCTGGAAACAAATAAAATCTGTACGTAGACAGCAAAACTATACAAGTACACCTGTAAAATTACAGTTTCAAAAGTAAGTTTGTGTCAGAGTGTCTTTGAAATGTCTTTATTTCTGTGTAAAGGAATTATATTGAAATGGCCAATTAAAGATCGCCTACATATTACAGAGAGTATATTTTGTATACTGTAATAACTACAAATATTTTTTCTAAAATATATACTTATAAGTATTAACATTGGTGATAATGAAAAGAAAGGAAAAGTTTAGATATTAAGTACCGAACTTTTGAACTAGAAGAGCAGTTGCATAGTGGAATAAGCTATTCAGTCAACTGAGACTCTGTCTGCTTTCTGGGTGCTCGTCTGATCTGTTCCAGACATAAGAGGAGAGTCTCTTCCCAGCCAAGATGTAAAATTAGGAACTGTAAATTCTCAATACAATTTTTCAAAGATACTTTATAAAAATGTAGCTGGATGCAGTATTTCAAATACCATCAGAGGGGCCATATACACCATTCCAGTTCTTAGGCTGGAATAGCTGTTGCTAGGGGCTGTTGGAGAGAGCTGTGTTGGAGCCTATTGATTTTCCTGTGTTGGTTTGAGGTTAGGCTGGTTCTCATGCTGTCATTTGGACAGCACAGAGGCCTCCAAATGCATTATGTGCCTCCATGATATTCTGTTCTGAGCCAAATCTGGCACCTTAAGGGTAGGATGCCTGTGAAGGACAAATATCAGTTGACACTGTCCAGTGATTGTGTTTTAGGTGTTCTGAGGAGTGGGTGGGGGGGTGTCTTTTCCATCCTGCTTTCATTGGGTCAAAGTCGAAAATGATTCTCATAGTGAAGTTGGTAGGCATTTGGAGCGGATGGCCTACCACTATAGAGAGGGTTGGGTGACTATTGGAGAGAGTGGGACCTGTTTAGTTAGCACCCAGACTTCTTGGATTTGAGGGGAGGACTCTAACCCTAAGTTCCCTAGATGAGAATTCCCACAGAGTCTGATTGTACTGGTGGTGTGTTGGGTAGATGGCCCTTCATTCTAGATGTCCTTATCTAGTGCAACTAATACTGTATTTTCTGTGTTCTGACATTTCATTAATTGAAATGGACTTTCTATTAGTACATTTAGAAAGCTGCAGTCAATCAAAACTGCATGTGTTTCATAACCAGGTTTATGTGGAATACAGTTTTGGAAAAGGACATTTATTTGGTGAATGTAGTGTACTTATAGTGTTGTTCTTAGATCCATATTTTCCTAGCTCTCTTATAAATTAGGGTTGTGGTTAGTTAAGGTACAGCCTAAAATTTTGATTGATTATTCTCTATCAGTCCTTACAAATTTCCTATTGTAAATTTTGTAATTCTGTAATTATTTTATTGTAATGAAAACTGATTTTAAGAGGTTCAAATACAAGTATTGAGCATCAGTATCTTGAAAAGACATTAACAAAACAAAACGCATGGGTTTTGCACTTGATGTAGACATCCTCCTCCCCAAACATTCTAACTAAGGCAAATAATTACAAAATGGCTGTTTTAAATTCATAATCTTATTGATAACTTCCACTAGGTTCAAATCTGGTGTATTGTGAGGTAACACTTTGAAGTATTTGTTCTACATTGGAAGATTATAGTGTGTGATCTAACTACTATCGCTACATTTTTCTAATTATAAAATTTAAATGTTTTGTATCCATGTTTGAAGAAGGCTGACAAAGAAAAATGATGAGGATGCATATAAGGCAGGATTAGCACAAGATGCTAAAAAAGACAGTGGGATGGAGGGAGAAGATATCGATAACCCTGACGATATTTCACAGACCTGGGGAAAACAGAAGGTACTTACATTATGAGACAGGTTTTAAAATAATAAATATTGTGTGCCTGATCCTTCTCACATTGTTGCTAATGAGAGTTTTGTCACTCACTTTTATGAGAGCAGTGTAGTGCTCCTTGGTTTGCTAGATAAAGCATTTGCTTTAGAATTGTGGAAATCGAGGTGATGCTGTAAATGTCCCAGATCCAGTGAAAATTTAGGCAGAGGTTTTCAAAGGGACCAAAGGAACTTAGCCATATTTTATAGAGATCTTATGATAACCAATTTGAATGTAGGAAATTAATGCTTGTGCTATAAAAAAAATGTTATAAACAGTTAAAATACTGATACTGGTTTCTAGGGATGTTTGGATTCAGCTCCTCCATTGGCGAGTTCAGCACAACTTGCAGAGATAAAAGAACCTTTTTTCATACCACATCTCACTTTGACTGCAGAAATAACAGCAATGTCGAAGTGTCCCATGTAAGTTGTAATTATTAAATTGCAATACTGTATATTTATTTCTCTGCTAAGGTAGAATAATGATGATATGTATTGTTTTAATTTCACATATCCTTAGAAATTAGTGTATTAAAATTTGAAAGTAAATAGTTTCAAAATAGTTCATTTAAATTAAAAAATTACACGTTTGGTGGTTTTTTTAAAAAAAGTAAATCTTATATTAAAATAAAATTTAACATATTAATGCCATCAACCTGCAAGGATTTATGCACATGCTTAATCTTATGCAATGAGAAGTCAATGGGACTGCTCAAGGTGTGTAAAGTTGAACACATGCATGGGTCTTTTCAGAAATGTAGGCTAAATATCTCTTTACTATGTACTCAATATTAATCTTTGATGGCAAATGTGCATGATTTGTATTCCCTTGAAATTAACCGATATGCTAAGCTTTTGTGTTTTTGTGATGCTACAGTAACTGTTGCAATTAGTCACCAGTTTGTTACTCTGAGTTTGATTATTTAGAATTAATTAAATCTGTATTCTATTTGGTAATTTGTAGGTATGAACAGAAGAGAAGAGCCAAAGTTCAGCGGCAACAGTATTTTATTAAAATATTTTACAATGAAAAACAAGTCTCTTGCACTTCAGTAGCTCCCCTACAGATGGATTTTAGAGTAATGTTTCAGCAAATTTTTAGTATTCAGTTATTAAATTGGCCCGAATCTCTTCGATTGGAGGTATAGTAACGTAATTTACTTTTGTACTTCATTTCTGTGCCATGTTTTAGGTCTGATCCCTAACTTGCATTAAAATCCAAGTGAAGACTCATATTGATGGGTAGCTATAAGTCAGTTAGCCTGACACCGGTCCTGGACAGAATAATGGCAAAGCTGATAGCAGGATTCAGTCACTAAAGAATTAAAGGATGGGAATATAATTAATGTCAGTCATAGTTTTATGGGAAATAGGTCCTGTCAAACAAACCTAATATTTTTTGATGAAATTGCAACTTTGGTTGATTAAAAGTAGCTGTGTAGATGTATAATGCCTTGCAAAAGTCTGAGAACATTCCGCAATATCAATAAGGCTCATGTTAAATGGATTCGGAATTGGCTAACTGACAGATTTCAGAAAGGGCTAATATGATTCTTGGTGATATAAACAGAGGAGTAGTGAGCAGAACGAGGTGATTTTACCGCGGTATACTGCATTGGTGAGCCTTATCCTGGAATATTGCATCCAGTTCTAGTGTCTACATTTTTGAAAGAATGTTGAAAAATTGGAAACGGTTCAGAAAAGAGCCACAAAAATGGTTTTAGGGCTGGAAATAAGGCCTGACAGAGAGGTTCTTGAAGAGCTCAATGTCTAAGTACCTTCATGGGGAGAAAATACTGCATATTGAAGAGCTCTAATCTAAGCAGAGAAAGGCATAACAAGAACCAATAACTGGAAGCTGAAGCCCGATGGAAATTCAAAATAGATATAAGCCACACATTTTTAACAGTTAGATATTGACTAACCATTGGAACAAATTATCAAGGGAATTGGGAGATATTCCATGTCTTGATGTCTTCATATCAAGACTGGAAGCCTTTCTGGAAGATATGCGTTAGTCAAACACAATTATTGGGCTCAATTCAGGGGTAGCTATATGAAATCATATGGCATGTGTTATATAGACTATATATGATCTAATGGTCATTTCTGGCATTAAAAATCTGACTAATGGAAATTGGATTGGCCCCTTAATGTTTGTGTTTTCTGTCATGTTATAGTTTATCTTTATAAAATTAACATACAAAATACTGCACCAAATTTTCAAAAACAGCTGACCAAGTTACAATTGCAGAATATATGTATGCCTGTACAAACAGGCTATTGTTTGACAGGAACATGGCCCAGTACTTAGGATGCTAGGGACTTGTGAGATTCAAGTTCAGTTCGCTCCATTGCCATAGACTTACTGTGTGATCTTAGGCTCGAAACACTTAGTCACTCTGTGCCTTAGTTCTTACAAATGGGTATAATAGTACCACACGGGGTGTTAAGAGAATTTTTTTAAAGATTGTGAGGTGCTTCTTTCAGAATCTTTTTGCTGGAACTTGTTCTTTTTTGACACATCATCTTAACTACAGCACAAATCAGAGGCAGATTTACAGTGAAAGACAGGGTGCCCTGGCACAGGACCCCCCAATGACAGGGAGCCCTAGAGCTGGGCAGCTGCGGGGGCAGAAGCTTGGTCCTGCCGGCTCCTGGGGCTCCTGCTGCAGGCTTCGCCCCCACCAGCAACCAATCTCCCATCTCCTCCCCTGAGCATGCCACTTTTCCCCCGTCCCTCCCAGTGCTGCCCCCACTGCCAAACAGCTGTTTGCCGGTGGTCAGGTCGCTCCAGGTGGTAGGGGGAGGAGGCAGAAAAGAGGCGGGGGTAGGACCTTGGGGAAGAGGTGGAATAGGGGTAGGGCAGAGCAAAGGCACGGCCCCCGCACTCCCCCTGCACATACCCTCTCCACCCTGCCATGAGCCGTTCAGGGCAGGGGCCTGGGAGCACCCCCACAACCCCAGCACACTCCCCCGTCTCCTGTCCTGACTCCTGCACCCCCTCACACACACCCAGCCCCCTGCCCTCCCTGACTCCTGCACCCCCCCAAATCTGCACCCCCACCCTGAGCACCAAATGGGAGCTCCTGCACCCCCCTCACATACCCCCAGCTCTGACTCCTGCACCCCCCTCACATACTCCCAGCCCTGATTCCTGCACCCCTCTCACACACACCTTGCCCTCCCTGACTCCTGCATCCCCACCTGCACCCCTCGCACTAAACAGGAGCTGCCACAGGTAAGCACTCCACACCCCAACCTCCTGTCCTAGTCCTGGGCCCCCTCCCATACCCTAACTCCTGGCCAGACCCTGCACCCCAACCCCCCGCCTGCTCCTGCACCGTAACTTCCTCCCAGACCCTGCATCCCCAGCCCTGAGCCCCCTCTCCCGCACCCTATGTCCTGGCCAGACCCCACACCCCAACACTTCTTTACTTTTTTTTTTATTAAGCGCTTTTATCCAAAGTGCTTTACAGTAGTTAGCTAACGGTACAAACAATATTTGGAAACATAATTATGTGGTCTGCCGAGACCCTCAGCGATTTTCAAGTGGTCTGTGGAAAAGTAAGTTAAACTACAAAAACAATCAAGGTATCTCACTTTATTTTCATTTACTTCCTATTACTTATAGGAGGAGGATGAAGAAAAAAAGAATGAAAATTGGGGGTGTGCGGGAGATCAGAGAGAATGTTCTTTTTTTGGCTGGGTCCCAAGGAGAGGCCCCAGAAATGAAGCTGAGCACAGGGCCACACCAACTCTAAATCCGCCACTGGCACAAATTGTTTTATTTTTAGATTTGTGAATCAGCTAAAAGGACAAACGTGCTGGCCAAAATATATTTACCTATTCCTGACAATACTGTACTGAAAAGCAAAGGTGTATTGGAACAGGCGGAATTTAGCTGTGACCAGCAAGTTAAACCCATAAATGGAGAAGTGGGAAGCAGTAAGTTACTTATATGTGAAAAAGATTTGAGCCTGGCTTAGTGGTCTGTTAGGAGTATAGTGCACTGCTAGACTGAGTTCTTAAGTCTAAATTCTTTGAATGATGCTTGAAGAAGAGTTGATAGTCTCCTCACGGAGTACTGTTTGGCCTCCTTCCTCCTGACCTCTTACACCAAACCTGTGGTAATACAGTAACTCCTCACTTAAAGTCATCCCGGTTTACGTTTATGTTGTTACGTTGCTGATCAATTAGGGAACATGCTTATTTAAAGTTGGCAGCGGCCTGGTTTGTCCACTGCTTGCAGGAAGAGCAGCCCGTTGCACCTAGCTGGTGGGGGCTTGGAACCAGGGTGAACCAACAGCCCCCCTATCAGCTCCCTTATCAGCTCCCCGCTCCCTTAAATTCCCTGTGCGTCAGCCACCCAGCAGGCTATCAATTGCCAGCTGTCCCTCCCCCCACTGCCATGTGCTGCTCCTGCCCTCTGCCTTGGAGCTGCTCCGGGAGCCTCCTGCTTGCTGTACGGGGGAGGGGAGAAGAGGGGGACTAATGTCAGGGTGTCCCCCTCCTCCCTACTCCTGCTCCCTTGTGACGGTGCTGCCCGTGGGAGCCAGCTGAGGTCACTCAATCAGGGTGAACTGCAAACAGAATGGGGTAAACAAACCCCAAATGCTGGTGGATATTCCAATGCTTAGATTTACCAAGCCAGCACAAAACAGCTTCTGTAGTACCTCACTGATTACTCAGAAGTCCACATAATGCAGTTCCCTTAAAGCACCCAGCCTCAGGCCTCCATCCAGACACACATGTCAAGCATATGATGATAAATTCTGAAAATCTTATTTAATCATATAAAAGAAAAGGTTCTCCTGATCCCAAAGGACCAAGCCCCTGATCCCAAAGGACCAAGCCCCAGACCCAGGTCCAATGATAACCTAGATGTTACACAAAATACACACTTATAGTCAATTCTTATTAACTAAACTAAAATTTATTAAAAAAGAAAAGAGAGAGAGAGAGTGTTGGTTAAAAGATCAATATACATAGAGACTTGAATTCAACTCTTGAGGTTCAGATACATAGCAGAGATGAGCTTATAGTTGCCAAAAGTCCTTTCAGAAATAGTCCATAGGTTATAGTCCAATGTCCATATTCAGGGTGACTCCAGTCAGTGACTGGGGTTCTCAATCCTTATGGCTTAAGGTTTCCCCCTCTTGAAACCCAAAGCAGATCTGAGATGAAGAAGGATCGTGTCCCAAGGTTTTTATACATTTCCAGCAGCCTTTTGGCCTGAGAAAACAATAGGCTTAACTTTTCTTCTCCTAAACATCATGGCAATTATTACAGGGTAATTTATCCATTAAACAGTTCAGCTACAGGTTACCACAACCTTCAAAGAGATATATTGACAATAATACAATTTCACTCAAGTGTCTTCCTAAATGTTAATACTCCTTTTTTGATCTTTGAATCAAAGCAATAGCAGTAGACAAGACTTGTTTGCTTACATCACAAGATCTGAACAAACATCTACCCTTCTATCTCTAACAATGCAGACTTGCATTTCAAAGCTCTAATCGTTTACGTATCTTCCTAACCCGTCTTTAAAGTTTGGCCATGAATCAGGTCAGTCTGTGAGTTAATTAACTCTTCCTGGCCCTGTCACCTTTCAATGAGATATTATATTATACTCATAATGTCACACCCCACTCACCCCTTCTCCATATAGAGCAGGGTGGGGACAGGACATAGAGAGCTTGCTGGCTGCAGCTACTATCTCAACTTCCTGATCTTTTTAAAGGCAATGTACTTAGAATGGAGTCAGGGTATGTCTACACTACGAAATTAGGTCAAATTTATAGAAGTCAGTTTTTTAGAAATCGTTTTTATATAGTCGATTGTGTGTGTCCCCACACAAAATGCTCTAAGTGCATTAAGTGCATTAACTCAGCGGAGTGCTTCCACAGTACCGAGGCTAGCGTTGACTTCCAGAGTGTTGCACTGTGGGTAGCTATCCCACAGTTCCCGCAGTCTCCGTTGCCCATTGGAATTCTGGGTTGAGATCCCAATTCCTGATGGGGCAAAAAACATTGTTGCAGGTGGTTCTGGGTACATGTTGTCAGGCCCGCCCTCCCTCCCTCCGTGAAAGCAACGGCAGACAATCGTTTCACGCCTTTTTTCCTGAGTTACCTGTGTAGATGCCATACCATGGCAAGCATGGAGCCCGCTCAGCTCACTGTCACCCTGTGTATCCTGGGTGCTGGCAGACGTGGTACTGCATTGCTACACAGCAGCAGCAACCCATTGCCTTGTGGCAGCAGACGGTGCAATAGGCCTGATAACCATCGTCATCATGTCCGAGGTGCTCCTGGCCGCCTTGGTAAGGTCGGTCAGGAGCGCCTGGGCAGACATGGGTGCAGGAACTAAATTAGGAGTGATTCGACCAACTCATTCTCTTTAGTCCTGCCAGCAGTCCTATTGTACCATCTTATGGCGAGCAGGTGGGAGATGAGGATGGCTAGTAGTCCTATTGCACTGTCTGCTGCCAGCCAAAGATGTAAAAGATAGATGGAGTGGATCAAAACAAGAAATACACCAGATTTGTTTTGTATTCATTTGCTCCCCCCCCCACCCGTGAAATCAATGGCCGACAATCGTTTTGGTGAGTTCTGTCAGGGACACCTTGAAAAGTTTAATGGAGATTCAGTCCTGTCTGAAATACCAGGGGGAGGGATAGCTCAGTGGGTTGAGCATTCGCCTGCAAAACCCAGGGTTTTGAGTTCAATCCTTGAGGGGACCATTCTGTGTAACAGTTCTTTTTCTAATTCCTTGTTGTAAAGCCACCCCCTTTGTTGATTTTAATTCCCTGTAAGCCAACCCTGTAAGCCATGTCGTCAGTTGCCCCTCTCTCCGTCAGAGCAACAGCAATCATTCCGCGCCTTTTTTATGTGCTGACGCCATACCACGGCAAGCATGGAGTCCGCTCAGATCACTTTGGCAATTAGGAGCACATTAAACACCACGCACATTATCCAGCAGTATATGCAGCAGCAGAACCTGGCAAAGCGAAACCGGGCGAGTAGGTGACGTCAGTGCGGTGATGAGAGTGATGAGGATATGGACACAGACTTCTCTCAAAGCACGGGCCCTGGCAATGTGGGAATCATGGTGCTAATGGGGCAGGTTCATGCGGTGGAATGCCGATTCTGGGCCCGGGAAACAAGCACAGACTGGTGGGACCGCACAGTGTTGCAGGTCTGGGATGATTCCCAGTGGCCGTGAAACTTTCGCATGCATAAGGGCACTTTCATGGAACTTGCTTTCCCCTTCCCTGAGGCACAAGAATACCAAGATGAGAGCAGCCCTCACAGTTGAGAAGCGAGTGCCTTGCAATTCCAGACAGCTACCGGTCAGTTGGGAATCAATTTGGAGTGGGCAAATCTACTGTGGGGGGCTGCTGTGATGCAAGTAGCCAATGCAATCAAAGATCTGCTGATATCAAGGGTAGTGATCCTGGGAAATGTGCAGGTCATAGTGGATGGCTTTGCTGCAATGGGATTCCCTAACTGTGGTGGGGCCATAGATGGAACCCTTATCCCTATCTTGGCACGGGAGCACCAATCCGGCGAGTACATAAACCGCAAGGGGTACTTTTCGATAGTGCTGCAAGCACTGGTGGATCACAAGGGACATTTCACCAACATCAACGTGGGATGGCCGGGAAAGGTACATGACGCTCGCATCTTCAGGAACTCTGGCCTGTTTCAAAAGCTGCAGGAAGGCACTTTATTCCCAGACCAGAAAATAACCGTTGGGGATGTTGAAATGCCTATATGTATCCTTGGGGACCCAGCCTATCCCTTAATGCCATGGCTCATGAAGCCATACACAGGCAGCCTGGACAGTAGTCAGGAGCTGTTCAACTACAGGCTGAGCAAGTGCAGAATGGTGGTAGAATGTGCATTTGGACATTTAAAAGCGCGCTGGCGCAGTTTACTGACTCAGTTAGACCTCAGCGAAACCAGTATTCCCACTGTTATTACTGCTTGCTGTGCTCTCCACAATATCTGTGAGAGTACGGGGGAGATGTTTATGGCGGGGTGGAAGGTTGAGGCAAATCGCCTGGCTGCTGGTTATGCGCAGCCTGACAGCAGGGCGGTTAGAAGAGCACAGGAGGGCGCGATGCGCATCAGAGAAGCTTTGAAAACCAGTTTCATGACTGGCCAGGCTACGGTGTGAAAGTTCTGTTTGTTTCTCCTTGATGAACCCCCCCGCCCCTTGGTTCACTCTACTTCCCTGTAAGCTAACCACCCTCCCCTCCTTCCTTCGATCACCGCTTGCAGAGGCAATAAAGTCATTGTTGCTTCACATTCATGCATTCTTTATTCATTCATCACACAAATAGGGGGATAACTGCCAAGATAGCCCAGGAGGGGTGGTGGAGGAGGGAAGGACAAGGCCACACAGCACTTTAAAACTTATTGAATGCTAGCCTTCTGTTTTTTGGGCAATCCTCTGTGGTGGAGTGGCTGGTTGGCCGGAGGCCCCCCCACCATGTTCTTGGGCATCTGGGTGAGGAGACTATGGAACTTGGGGAGGAGGGTGGTTGGTTACACAGGGGCTGTAGCAGCCATCTGTGCTCCTGCTGCATTTCCTGCAGCTCAACCGTACACTGGAGCATATTAATTTGATCATCCAGCAGCCTCAGCATTGAATCCTGCCTCCTTTCATCATGCTGCTGCCGCCGCCTTTCAACTTTAGCCCTCTCTTCAGCCCGCCACCTCTCCTACCGGTCATTTTGTGCTTTCCTGCACTCTGACATTGTCTGCCTCCACGCATTTGTCTGTGCTCTGTCAGTGTGGGAGGACAGAATGAGCTCAGAGAATATTTAATCGCAAGTGCGATTTTTTGCCTTCTAATCTTCACTAGCCTCTGGGAAGGAGAAGATCCTGTGATCCTTGAAACACATGCAGCTGGTGGAGAAAAAAAAGGGACAGTGGTAT